AGACAGAGAAGCAGAGCCCTCGGGGTCCACGGGGCGGGCTGTCAGCTCCACCCCACATGCCTGTCCTCAGGCCTCAAACTGCCTCCGGTTTCGGCCACTGTTTGGAAATGCTGTGGTAGACTGTGGCATCCACCTAGGGGAACGCATGTGGCCAGAGTGACAGACTGCAGCCCAGCCAGCAGGCCACTACCCAAGGGAGGCCAGGCTGTGCCAGGGCCACTCTGCTCCTGCACAAGCTGCACGTGGCAGATCGCGCCCTTGGCCGTGTCTGCATGCCCTTGCACATGTGCACAGCTGTGGTCTGCCTTCCCACGCTGCAGTCCCAGGGCACCTGGCTCCAGCTCTGGCAGCAGCCTGCTGGTCGGCCATCGTGGGGGGAGGCGCGGCCTCACTCTGCGGTGATGCACTTGAAAGCTGTGGACTCGGAATGCAGCCAATCTTGTCAAGTCCCAACCAATGGAAAAATGAAGTTGGAGGCTGTGAAGCAGGGGACTCAAGTGCAGCCTGCCTGAGGAACAAGACCACCAGACCAGAGCCGCACGGAGGCCAAGGCTGCCCCGCCTCACACCAAGTGCCCTTGCAAGAGGGTGGCCCTGTCACTTGGTAGAGTGCTTACCTTGCATGTGCGAGGCCAGGATTTCAATCCCCAGGGAATAAAAGAAAAAAAAAAAATACTGTCCACCCGGCAGTTGTCCCTCCAGCTCCAGCCTGGAGCCACCCATGTCAACCCTCCCAGCCAAGGGTCCCTGTCTCACAGTCTGACATGATGGCCACTCAGAAGTCACTTGCTCTAAAACCTCCCCCTTCCTAAAGCCTCTTTGAACACATCTATAGCTTGCCACGGCACCATGTCCCCACTGCAGCGTTCTGTCGTCCCAAACATTCCTTAGAGACTCTCTGGTGGGTATTTAGGTGGACACACCTGGTGTCAGCAGTGGACCTGAAGCCAGGAGCGGGCGGATGGCTCCAGGAAGCAGGCGTGCTGTCCACACTGGACCTTTGTGCAGTTCTGGGGCTGGCCGTTTTTTTGCCCTGCTGGACCCCCCTGGGCTGGACCCCCCCTTTTTGTTAGAGGCTCCGTGCTGGCTTTAGGATAAGCCCTTTTGGGTACGCAAGCCCGCTCAGCCAGTCCCTGCCCATGCTTATTCACATTTCCTCAGAACTCTGCCAGGACTTGACGTGTCCTCTGGTGAACTGCTTCCGGTTTGTGTGCCCAGTGGAATACTTCATGTGACCTGCGTGTCTAATTGAAGACTTGTGAGCACCTTTATTTTGGTTTCACTTTGGTTACAGGTGTCTACAAATGATTCAGCTTCTTTACTTTTCTCGTTTCTGAAAATCTTCCAAGAGCAAAATAAACATTGTAAAACAGGTGGACATGGGGACAGGGTGGCCACTCAAAAGCCATTAGCAGGTCCCACCAGCCATGAGAGAGTAATCTCTAGGTGTAGCATGGTGATTGCCTGGTCATAGGCAGGTGAGGTGCCCACTGGGTGCCTGTCAGACACAAGACAATTTCCATGCAGCCTGGACAGTGTGGTCACAGACAAGACTGGCTGTCTGCAAGTAGAGAATCCTGTGCCAGGTGTGCTCAGCAAAACAAGGATTTCTGCCCACACCCGCAGCTCCCGGCAGGGCTTGGGTTTTCCATGCTTTGGGAGACAAGTTGGGAGATGGAAACAAAGTGGGACCCCAAGGTTTCAGAACACAACCTCACCCTCCAGGGACTCCAGTCACCACAGAGTGGTCCATTCCTGGGCATCTTCTGGCTGCACATCACTGGAAGACAATTCTTAAATGTGTAATTATACTGCTAATGTAAAGGCTCTCTTCCTGTGCCTATTTTGAATCTGACTTTTCCATTTTATTAAGAAAAAGACGGGCTGGGGTTGTGGCTCAGTGGTAAAGTGCTTGCCAAGCATGTGCAAGGCCCTGGGTTCGAGCCTCAGCACCACATACAAACAAAGATGTTGTGTCCGCCGAAAACTAAAATAAATATTGAAAATTCTCTCTCTCTCTCTCTCTCTCTCTCTCTCTCTCTCTCATAACCAAAATAAAAGTGCTGTGTCCAACTAAAACTAAAAAATAAATTTAAAAAAAAGAAAGGGGCTGGGGCTCAGCAGTTAGAGTGCTCGCCTTGCACATGCGAGGCCCTGGGTTTGATCCTCAGCACCATATAAAAATAAATAAATAAAATAAAGGTATTGTGTCCAACTACAACTAAAAAATAAATATTCTTTTTATAAAAAAGACAAAAAAGGTAAACCCCAGCTTTAAAGTTTTTTTTGGCATTTCAGTCAAGATGGGAAAACCTTTCAAAATTAATGGTGTTGTAATTTACCATAGCTCCGCAGCAATCTAGACACCAGAGAGTCACCCCTTTTAGAAATAAGAATTTTGGTTTGCCTGCAAACACTGGCTTAGGGTGATGAAAGAGTTAATTAAATGATTAATAATCTAAAAGGAAACAATGAGAAAAGTATTTATCATATAGCGTGGTCAAAATCTTGTACTTAGAGCCATAAGAAAAGATCTTTCTGCCCAAAGAGCTGGTTCTTTAAAAATATAAGCAAAATTGACAAACCTTCAGCTCTATAATCTAACCATAAAGAGAGAGCGGACCCAAAAAAATAAAATTAGAAATGAGAAAGAGACATTATAACTAATAACAAATTCAAAGGATCTTTTGAGACTATTTTGAAAAATTATGTTACCAACTTAAAGTCTACAAATGGACAAATTTCTGGACACATGACCTACCGAAATCAAACCAAGAGTGTATAAAAAACCTGAATAGGCTGGGTATGTGCTGTGCACCTGCAATTCCAGTGAGTCTGGAGGCTGAGGGAGGAGGATTGCAAGTTCAAGGCTAGCCTCAGCAACTTAGCGAGACCATGTCTCAAAACCAGTGGGGGATGTGGCTCAGTGCTAAAGTGTAAGTGCCCTGGGTTCAATCATTGGTACCAAAAAAAAAAAAAAAAAAAAGTTCTGGGGTAAAAACCCCTGGGCTGAATCCCCAACTAAAAAAAAAAAAGAGAGAGAGAGAGCTGGGTACAGTAGGACCTGTAATCCCAGCAGCTCCGGAGGCTGAGGAACTTGAACTCATTCAAAGCCAGTCTCAGCAAAAGTGAGGTGCTAAACAACTCAGTGAGACCCTGTCTTAAAATACAAAAAAGGGCTGGGGATGTGCCCTGAATTTAATCTCCGTACCAAATAGAATAAAAGAGCCTCAACCATAAGCTGCCAGGGGCAGTAGAGCTCACTACAGTGGCACACACCTATAGTCCCAGCTACTAGGGAGGCTGAGGCAGGAGGATTTCTGAGCCCAGAAATTCAAAGCCAGCCTTGGCAACAGAGACCCCATCTCAAACAGAACTGAACTATAAGATGATTGATGGGTGATGCTTTCAGAAGAAGACATTGATTAAAAGGTAATATGAAAGTTGTGAGAATCAAAGTGAGGTCACTTCTGTCAGGCTTTAACCAAAATAAAAATAAAGCCAGGAGATGGGGAGGGAGGGGATTTGGTGCACATGCCTGTTCTCTGAGACTGCCAGGGCCCCACTGCACAGCAGGTGCCTCTGCAAAGAGGACTGCAGGCCACTGTATGGCAGGCTGGGGCCAGTCCTCCCAGGTGGCCGGCTCAGAATATCTTATATGATCCTCCTCACTTAAAAACGTCTTTCCTCAGCCAGGCATGGTGGCCCATGCTGTAGGATGTGGAGGAGGGTCCCAAGTTCAAGGCCAGCCTGGGCAATTTGGTGAGACCCTCAGCAATTTAGCAAGAAGACCCTGTCTCAGAATAAAAAAGGGTTGGGAGTCTAGCTCAGTGGCAGAGCACCCCTGGGTTCAATGCTCAGGGCCATGAACAAAAAACCCTTCTTAGGGCTGGAATGTAGCTCGGTGGCAGAGCACTTGCCTAGCACCTGTAGGTACTGGGTTTGATCCTCAGCACCAAATAAAAATAAATAAACACAATGAAGGTATTACGTCCATCTACAACTAAAAATGAAAAAAAAAAAAAAGAGGCTTTTGCTTTCCTCAACCTCCTGAACAGTTTGCCAGAGCACGCGTGTCCCTCTGCGAACGCTTCTGTGGATGGAGAATCTCTCATTCAGGCTGACCCGTGTCGAACGCCCAGGGCTGAGACCGTGCTGCCTCCCAGCGCTCCACATGCTCCACAGGCCCAGCAGAGGGGGCGACCAGCGCCTCCTGACTCTCCAGGACAGCATCCCCAGAGTGTCCATGTCCACCTGAAGGCCCTCTCCTAGGCCAACTGGCCAGGGCCCTGGGCCTGAGCTGCTTGTGGTAAGGATGGGAGCTACCGGCAGCCCCTCCACCCCAGTATATCCTGGGTCTATCCCTCCGGTCTCCTCTTCCACCTCTATAGGTGACATGGGTTCTCTCCACACTGCTTTTTTTTGGGGGGAGCTGGGGGTACCCGTGATTGAATTCAGGGGCACTTGACCACAGAGCTACATCCCCAGCTTTATTTTGTATTTTATTTAGAGACAGGTTTAGCACCTCACTTTTGCTGAGGCTGCCTTTGAACTCGGGATCCTCCTGCCTCAGCCTCCTCAGCTGCTGACGAGCACCACACTGCTTCTTTAGCACCAGGCACCAGTACCTCTAAATTCTGAGCTTGGATTGGTGCAGACTGAAGCCACTGGCCACCCTGGGCCCCTTGGCTTACTAGCCAGCCCCCCTGCCCCACTGCCACCTGGCAAGGGAGGACCCCTCCCACTACCCAGCTGTGTGGACCAGCAGGGGCAAAACCAGCCCAGCTCCCCCAGGTAGGGGCAGAGGGGTGGGCAGGGCAGGAGGTGTTCACTCTGACGTCAAGAGCAAAAGAAAACCTTTATTGGGCAAGACCAGCCTATCCTTGGTCTTCAAGGAAGACAGGAAAAGACTACGGTCTCAGGGATGAGGAGGCCACAGGTCAGAGACCCAGCACCCCCACAGGAGGGGGCAACAGGGTAGGAGGTGGGCGCCAGCAGTGGTCAGGCCTCAGCCTCGGCAGCGAAGAGCGGGTTGTCAAAGTAGCTGTGGCTTGTGCTGCCGTCCAACTTCAGGGCCGGACTGCAAGGCCGCACTGGGGGCTGCAAAGGGACACAGGTCAGGACACGTTGGTCCCAGTGCCAGGCCCTGGAGAGCACCCCCCAGACCTTCCCGCGCTCTCACCGGCTCCTCCGAGGTCGCCACGAAGAACACCGGGTTGCTGAAGCCCGAGGGCGCCCCCGCGCGGGCGGGCTCTGCCTCCTCCTGCCTCCTCCACCTGGGGAGCGGGACACAGATGAGCCCCTCGGACGGCGCTGCTCCCGCTTCCCGCCCGCTGCAAACCTGAGCCTGCCGCACACCTGAGCCTCCCGGTGCGGCGCAGCAGCACGATCCCCAGCAGCGCCAGCAGCGCCAGCAGCACCGCGGCCACCACGCCGCCTGCGAGCCCCGCGCGGGACGCGGGCGCGTTCTGCTCAGCCGCGGAGTCGCCCCCGACTGGCGCGCCCGACTCCCGCAGGGCGGCCGATAGGACCCCGAGGGCCTCGCCTGCAAGGGAGGTGGGCTCAGCGGCCGGCGGCCACGCGGAGCCAGAGGAAGGGGCGGGGCGCTTACCGTGCTCCGCCACGTCCGCCACGAGGGCCCGGGCCAGCCGCCCCGCGCCGCCGGTCTCGGGTCCAGTGTCCGCCAGCACCACCTGGATCTCCGTGTCGGCCTCCCGCAGCCGGGACCAGCGCGGCACCCTGGACACGGCCACTTGCAGCCCTCGGTACTGGGGCTGGGGAGGGGCAGGGTTAGCCTGGGACCCCGCCCCTCGAGCCCTCGGGGGCTTTAGGGGCGCCGCATAAGGGGACAGGTGGACAGAGAGGTCCGTCCCGGCAGGGCCTTCAGAGGCCGCTGGTGTCCGGAGGCCCCTTCTCGCCGCCCGCGCGGCCATACCAGTGACAGGAAGGCGTCCAGCAGCCGCGCCCGGTACCGCTGCAGATCAAAGGCGGAGCTGTGGGTCAACGACACGATGGCTCCTGCAGCAGGAGGGCAAGGGTCACGCCGTGGACCCGGGCCCGATGGGGAAACTAAGGCAGGAGCGAGGCAGCGTCCGTCAAGACGCCGCAGCAAGCAGGGCCCCGGGGGACGCTCACCGCAGAGGTCGCAGCACTGCCCCTCAGGCCGCAGGGCGTCGTGGCAGGAGGCCTGGGGGCAGCGGCCGCCCAGGGGCTGCAGGAGCGCCGCGCAGACCCAGGGCAGAGCCTGCGGGGGGAGGCGCAGTGGTCAGCGCCGGGATGACGAGGGCAGACCGCAGCTAGAAAGGGTCCAGTGCCCCGAAGCGGGCCAGCCGCCCAGGCCCAGTACCGACCCTCGCACGGTGCCCGGCAGGGCCTGCAGCCGCGCTCACCTCGGCGGTGCCGCACACGCAGCCCGACGGGTCGGCGCAGGCCTCGGAGCCCAGGCTCAGCGCGCCTGGCCCGTGGAAGTGCAGGCGGCCGGATCGCGACGCCAAGAAAGCGGCCAGGTCCTCGTCGCGCGTGAACGTCTGCGGAAGGCAGGGTGACCCACGGAGCCAGCCACCCGACGAGATCCTCTGGGTGCTCAGAGCCACGTGCGCAGACCAGGAGGGGCGCGAGGGCGCCCGACCCCTCCTCCGGCCGGCTCACCTGGCCCAGAGCCGAGAGGCTGCGGACGCGCACGGGGTCGGCGCCGGGGCCGAGCCCCACGCGGAAGGAGCCGTCGGGCGGGAAGACGACGTCGTCGTGACTGCAGGGCACGCGCTCGGCGTCCACGGAGAAGAAGCCGCGCGCCTCCTCCGAGCGCCACAGGCGTGGGTCGACCCAGGAGAAGCGGTCGGGGTTGCGGAAGAGCGCCGGGGGTTCTGGGGGCGCGCGTCCCGGAGTCGGCCACCGCGCGGAGCCCGGAACGCGCCTTTCCCACAGTCCCCGGAGACGCCCCGCCCCCGGGCGCCTCACCTGAGCCACAGTCCGGGTCCGAGCCCGGGGCAGCCGCGCTGAATCCCGCTCCCGAGGCCAGCACGAGTTCCCCGTCCAGCGGCAGCAGCTGTGGGAGGCATGGGCTGAGGCGGCGCGAGGCCCAGGGCCCGCTCCGCGCCCACCTGCGTCCCTAGGGTCCGCGGGGAGGAGAAACCAGACCAGGACCATGGAGCAGGGTGAGGTCAGGGCCAGGGGCACCGCGCTCTGGCTTAGACTAGCAGGGTCAGCAGGATCTCGCCAGGGAAAGGAGAAGGGCATTCTGCGCGGAATGGAGCTGGGGAACAGCCTGTACCAAGGCTGTGCGGTGAGAACAGCCCAGTGTCCCGAACTCTGGGCTGCAGTGGGGCTACAGGGCCACGTAGGCCGAGGTGGCAGAGCCGCAGGCTGAGGAGCAGGACCGAGCGAGCTGAGACCTGGGCACCCGTGCAGACTTTCCCCATCGCCTCCCCCCACCCCTGAGAAGTTACAAGCAAAGGGTTTCTGGGTCCCAGGAACTGTATTTTAGAACAGTGACAAGCCTCTGGGGAGGGGGCTTTAGTTTGGAGGAGAGGAGTTCCAGAGAGGGCAGGGAGCATGGGGGCTTTGAAGTGGCCCTGCTATATTCCCAGATCATGGCTTCATCATTGCAGCCCCCTCACCACAAAAGCCAGGCCATACCCAGGCCTCAGGTGCTAGGAAACACGGCAATAGGAGGGAGAGAACAGAGCAACCCACTCTTCATTTCCCCTCCCCTCCAAGCCGTAGGACCCTCACCCTTTCCATCCTTTTTTCTCTGAGGAGCTGCTCATGAGGGGTCAGCATCTCAGGGCCCAGCCCCTTGTCCCAAACTGAGGGGCAGGGCTTGCTCCTCAGCCCTTCCTGGAGCACAGAACCAATAAGATCACAGGCCAGCAGCACCGTGGCTGTCCAGCAGAGACCAGACCGCAGGGAATGACCCTGCGCACCCCTGATTGCACCTCGGTGCAGGAATCAGAAAAGACAGGTGAAACAGAGTGGTTGTCAAAAAGCGGTGGTCACTGTTTTAAAATTTAGTTCCTGGGACCCAGAAACCCTTTGCTTGTAATTTCTCCGGGGTGGGGGGGTCCAAGTGCAGGGTGAGGCCGCAGCTCACTGCAGAGTTTGTCTAGCATGAACACAGCCTGGGTTCAACCCCAGAACCACACAAAAAATAATAAAATATAAAAGAAATAAAAAGAATCTAAAAGAAATATGAATAAAATGTGAAAATCACAATGGTTAGAAGGACGAGCACAAGCAGGTGAGATCCACAAGAGGACTAAGCCAACTGTGGATGCCCGGTGATGCTGGTGGTCACGCCCAGGCTCCCCGGAAGACAGCAGAAAGAGAGAGGACCAGGGGGCACAGAGGCAGACCCAAGCACTGAGACTCATAGGCAGGGGTGGGACAGAAAGAAAAAGAATTTTTTTTTTTTTTTTTTTTACCTGGAATTAAACGCAGAGGGGCTTAACCACCAGGCCACATTCCCAGTCCTTTTAATTTTTTTTTTTTTTTTTTTTTTTGAGACAGTCTTGCTAAGTTGGCTTTGAACTTGTGATTCTCCTGCCGCAGCCTCCAGAGTTGCTGGGATTATGGCATACACCACCTCACCCAGCTAGAAGAGCAAATATTTGAAGAAATAACAAAGATGATCTTTCTGAATATGAAGAAAGATGCAAAATCTCAAATTGAGTGCCCAAAGGAAAATTGGAAAATCCACACGTGTGACACATGACAGTATGATTATATCAAAGAGAACATTCTGGAAGCCTCAAAGAGAACACATTACCCAGGAAGGGGGAAAACAAATCAGATTCCTATTTCCCAGCAAAATACAACAGAGCAATAATTTTATATTTTAAAGAAAAATAACTTTCCATCTGGAGGTTTTTTTTTTTTTTTTTTTTATCAAGCTAAACTGGGTCAAGTGTGAAGGTACAATTAAAATGCCTTCAACCTAAAAGGCTTCAGAACGAATGCTTCCCAAAGATCCATCCTGTCATCATGCTCAGAAGAATCAAGTTCCAAGGAAAAGAAATCCAGATCCTTCAAGAGCTACAGGCAGCAAGAGTGATGAAATAACACTAGTAAGCCAATTCTCTGTGTGTGTGTGTGTGTGTGTTGCTTGGGATTGAACCAGGGCCTTGCTCTTGCTAAGCAAGTGCTCTCCCACTGAGCCACACCACCCAGTCTCTTGTCTTCTTAAACAGTTTAAAAACTGGGACTAAATATGATGGAGAAGGGAGGGGGGAGACAAAGGGTGAGGGGTCTGTGCTAAGGAGCTTCCTTGTCTAAGGGAAGATACAGACCCCGAGCAGTTTAAGAAATCAATAGGCTACCCAACTGCAAAACTGAGGAGCTACATCCTTTGCTGAACGTTTTAAATGTCAAAAATCGATGCAAAGGGCTGGAGACATAGTTTAGCGATAGAGCACTTGCCTAGCATGCATGAGGTCCAGGGTTGACCCCCAGCACCACACACACACACAGAAGCCAGGCATGGTAGTGCATGCCTATAGTTCCAGCGATTCAGGTGGCTGAGGAGGAGGATCAGGAGTTGGAGGCCAGCCTGGGCAACATAGTGAAAGCCTGTCTCAAAAACAGCAAACAAAAGATCACACACAGAGAGCAATCCAGAATGTGTATAGACTAGTAAGCATTAAAGACATCATATCCGTATTAGTCAAAATCTGATACCCCAAAATCCCAGCCCAAATAATTTTACAGGGTGGTTTAGTAAACCTTGCAAGAAACGATTCATTTGTTTTCACCAGAAGTTTTCCTGGAGAACAGAAAAAGGAGTGAAAATTGTCAAGTTTCTCTATGAGGCCAGTGTGGTCTTGATCACAAAGCCAGAATGAAGGACAGAAAAAGAAAAAAATGATAGACCCATGTAACTTACAAATGCAGTGGTTAAAATTCTAAGAAAAACATTACCTCACTGGAGGCAATAATGTTTTTTAAGAATCCTGTGCAAGAGCAAGAGTAAGCCCTTATGTGCACTGTGGGATCTGGATGGTGTGCCAATGTGGGTGGCCCAAGGTGACAAACATGCCACTCTGGGGCAGGATATTGGTGATGCAGGAGGCTCTGCATGGGTGGGGCCAGGAGGCATATGGAAACTTATGGTACCTTCCTCTCAATTTTACTGCAAACCTAAAACTGCTCTAAGAAATTAAGTTTTAAATGTTTTTAATTTAATTTAATTTAAAAAATAGACGGTCACCACGGGGCATGGTGGTGCACGCCTGTGATCCCAGTAGCTCAGGAGCCTAAGGCAGGAGGATCTCAAGTTCCAGGCCAGCTTCAGTAACTTAACAAGATCTGTCTCGAAAACAAAGAGGGCTGTGGATGTAGTTCAATGATAGAGTGCCCCTGGGTTCAGTCTCCAGTAAAACACACACACACACACACACACTCACACACACACACACTCACACACACACACACACACACACACACACAGGTAACCAAATAGGGTTCATGTCCCAACCATGCAGGAATGGAGAGCAATGGGGACAATTTTCATCTCATCACCCACAGCAGAATTGATATGTCATGACAGACAAGTCCAGGGTCTTGAGGAAGTTGCGGTTTGGAGCCCTGCTGCAGGTGTGTGCCAGAAGAACATCTTGAGAGCCGAACCTCAGAAAACCTCAGTAATGGAGCTGGGGTTGTAGTGGTGGAGCGCTTGCCTAGCAAGTGTGAGGCACTGGGTTCAATTCTCAGCACCACATATAAACAAATAAACAAAGATCCACCAACAACTAAAAAATATTAAAAAACAAAAAAACTCAGTAATGGGCTAAAAGAAGGAGAAGCACATCTCAATCCAAGTAGAAAATGATGGCGCTGGCCCAGGGGCTATGCCTAGGATAGCAGCCACTCCAGAGACGAGGCAGGAAGTCACAAGTTCAAGACCAGTCTCAGCAACTTAGCAAGGCACTGAACAACTTAATGAGATCCTGTTTTAAACTTTTTAAAAAGACTGGGGTGTAACTCAGTGGTAAAGCTTCCCTGGGTTCAATCCCCAGAACCCAAAATAAAAACAAAGAACAAAACAACCAACTGGAGAATATAGTTTTTAAGTATAGGGCACTATTCATGATCAAAACCCAGCCTAGGGCTGGGGTTGTGGCTCAGTGGTGGAGCGCTTGCCTAGCATGTGTGAGGCACTGGGTTCGATTCTCAGTACCACATATAAATAGATAGATAGATACATAAATAAAATAAAGGTCCATTGACAGCTAAAATTAAAAAAAAAAATCTCCAAGCCTATCAATACTAGGCAAGAAGCGGCTGGGGATGCAGCTCAGTGGGAGAGTGCAAGCAGGGTTCAATCCCCAGCACCACACACACACACACACACACACACACACACACTATGCAAGACTTCTAAGATCCTGTAAAAAGATATGAATGAACTGAATATTCAGAGAGACAGCCCAGACTCTGGAAGAGATGATCCACGGTACAGCTATTCCAATCAATATTTCAGGGTTGGGGGTTTGGGGGAGGGCAGTGGGTGTTGCCTGGGGAACCTGTTCTACAGTTTCTCTGCAACAATCAGAAGAGGGAAGGAGCAAGTTGCCCCAGAAGACACAAAGATCTGCCACAGGGCACACACAGAACCAGGACAGCCCTGGGTTGGGACTGAGAGTGCTAAGACCCACACCCTGGACAGGCAGTGAAGCACATCGGGCTATGCCCGAGGTTAAAGGGCAAGGCTGGCTGTTTGGGGAGGATGGGGAAATTGGGCTCACTCTAAGGAGGAAACTAAAACTGGGTCCCTAGCTGGTGCCACACTCACCCATGCACCCCAGGTGGCAAACTGCCACTTGACAGACATACTGGAGTGCTTGCCATTGTGACTGAGTGCAGGTAAGGGATTCTCATAACCAAATATAGTTATGAGGCAACAGACTTTGCATTTGGTAGATGAGAACGAGGGTTTTCGTTTGGCATGGGACACTGCAGGCCAAGTTCACGGTGAGAAGATACTGGCAGCATCTCACATCCCCACAACAACCAACCGCTGGACAGAGGCTGGAGAAGGTGGCCCAGGTAAGGAAGAGAAGCACCCGCGAGGCAGACAGCTGACGCTGGGAGCGGGTCGCCCGCCGAGGCTGGGTCCATTTGGTTTCTGTGGCGACCGCTGCCCTTTACCCTGCCCTGGGCAGTTCCGCGGGTCCTGGGACGTTGAGGGCGGGGCGGGGCTGGCCCGGGAGAGGCGCCTGGACCGAGGGACCCCAGACATGCCTGAGCCATGAGTGGGTGAATGAGCGAAGGATCCTTAAAATCGCCACGCTCCCCAAATAGGTGCCCGAAGTAACGAGGTCGCGCGGCGCTTCACCTCCTCCGGGCGCCCCTCCAGCCCGGGGAGCCGCCGCGGGGCCGCCAAGGTTACCCGAGGGCCTGGGTCTCACGCCCCGCACCCTCCCCGGCAGTTGAGGCGCGGGGCCGCGGGGCCGCGATGTGCCGGTTCCGCCCAGCACCCAGCGCTGCCCGGCGCCAGGCGCAGACCTAAGTCAGTAACCGAGGCTAAGGGTGCAGCTCGGCGAGCGCCAGGCCCGGATCGTCCCGGCGCCGCGGAAACAGAAAGGAACTTTAAAAGTCGACCACGGGGCCACCCTCGGGGCGGAAACGAGACCTGCGGCCCCGATCTGCATCTGGGCAGGGGCTGGGCCGGGCACTGCCCCTGCCAGTGGCCTCCCGGGGAGAACTCACGAGCCGAGCTCGTTCCGCCCCCAGCTCCAGCTGCCCTCGCTCGCGGGTGACTGATGAGGGCAGGTCTGATGGCGACTGCAAAAGGGAGGCCGGGAAATGACGCTTTAAACCAGACACGGGGTGCCCTTTCTGTTAAAGGGTGGACAGTGAATAGTCTCGGTCGCTGTCGCCTGTGAATCTGTCTGACACCGCACAGGATGGGCGGGGCTGCGTGCAGATGATTCTGGAAGGGCCCTGGGGTCTTGCCCTGTAGAGCCTGTGCCTCGTGGGAAGCTCCAGACAAGTGCAGATGTGGAGATCCCCAGTCGTGGGAGGTCAGGAAAGCCCTATTTTCCCGATCCCTTAGAACTCTAGTACCATTTGAGGGGAAGCCCCAGGATTTTAGGGAGGATGTTCCCCTGGAATAGGGAAAGGCAGGTGGAGCAGCTTCCCCAGAGCAAACCTGACGGAAGACAGACTCTGAGGAGCCGAGGTCAGAGGCAGAAGGGCAGTGGGTACTGAGATGCTCTCCCAAGGCACAGCCTGGCTGAGGCCGAGTGCCTCTCGGCATCTCTAGAGGCCAAAAGGCTGGGGCTGGTCTCCAGACACAGCGACCTGCAGGGGCTCGTGGGCCTCTGCTACCGGCCAGTCCCCTTCCAATCTCGGGTCAGCCCTGCACCTTACCATATCCGAGACGGTGTGACTTTCTTGCACCAGGACTGACACCATCTGCAGGAAGAAAGGGTGTCAGTAGGGGTAGGTGGAGACCCACCCCCTGCGGGATTATGCAGGTGTGAGGGTCCAAGGCCCCATCCATGATCCAGTAGGGGCTTGGAGGCACCTTGTCTGCAGGGAACTGGACAGCGCCCCCGGCGCACGGTGTCCGGTTCTGGTTCCAGTTGGTGGCAGTATCGAAGCCGGTGTTGGGGACCCAGAATTTGTAGGCGGCCCGGGTCAGCGCTGGGGAGAGGGTGGCTGAGTGCCGCTGCTCTCGGGGAAGGCGATCCCCCCCGGAGACGAGCCGCAGGCCGGCGTGGGTCACACACATGGGTGCCCAGGCGGCCCTGCCCCAGGCCTTGGTGCCCCCGCGCAGCAGGCCGGACCTCGTGGGAACGCCGTCGCGGCGCTGCGACCCACTCCTGGATCTGCAGAGGCGGCTCAAGCTGCTCAGCCTCAGGACGCCGCCCCGCTCGCCTCCCGCCCTGTCCCGTTTGCCTGGCGCTGGAGCCGGGGACTGCTCGGGTCACTCAGTGGCAGCAGGGGGTGGGGCCGGCAGGGCTCAGCCTCCGCCTAGGGGTCAGGCGCGCTTCCTGGAGGCCCTTCCCGGAGGAGTCGCACCACTCCCGGGAAGAGCTCTGGCTGGAGGCGGATCCCCGCGGGCGAAGGAGGAGGCTGGGCCGCAGGGCAGAGGGCGGAGGGCGACGGGGGGCCTGGGAGGGACGGGGCTGGGCCGCGGCTCTTAAAGCTCCCGGGCGGGCGTCGAGGCGAGCACTAGGGACACTCGCCGGCCAGGGCGCGGGGGTGGGTGGGGAAACTGAGGCAGGCGCCGCGCTGCGGACGCGCACGGTGGCTCTGGGCCGGCGGGCAGGGCGCGAGCGGCACCGAGGAGCGTCTGCCTCCAGCACCGCCCGCCCCGCCGCGTCCTCGCTGGCCAGGGGCCGGGCGGGTTCGGCCTCCCAACCTCCCCCAGGATCTCGACCCTCGCGGCGTGGAGGGTCCCGCGGCCCCCCTGCGCGCCCAGCCTACCGCACAGCTGCAGCCCCAGCAGGAGCCGGCCCAGCGCACCCATCGCGTCTCGCGCGGCCCCAGGGGACTTTGCCCCCACCGGCCCACGTGAGCGGGGGTGGGGGCCACCGACGCCACACGTTCACCTTCAGACCCGCCCGGCGACTCTCGCCCCTCCGGAAGTGACTTCTCAGCCTCCCACGCCTGCCCTTCAGGGCTTGAGGAGCCCGGGTGCCTAGGAAGAGGGGCGGCAGGACTGCCCTGCCCGGTGACCACCTCTGGGCTCACCCCCGCTCCTCCCGGTGCTGGTGGGGCTGAGCCTGGTCTGCCCACTGATGAGGCTGAATGTCCACCTGAGGCAGCTCCCCCTCCTGCCTCCTGGCCTGAATGGACTGGACTCCGGGAAAGGATGATTGATGGGAGAGGATGGGAGGGTTGTGGGTGATCTTCATGGAGGATCATGAAGGTGAATGGTTAATGGAGGAATGATGGAGGAGGAGAGATGGGATGCAGTGGACAAGAGCCGCTAGGTGGTGGACAGACGGCTGGTGCGTGGTGTGGAGTGGATGCTGAATGGTGGGCGAGCAGCCAGTGGTGGGCTATGGATGGGCAGAGCTGGAGGGTGGACTGAAGCTGAGTGGGTGGGATGGGAGAGGACGACTAAATCGATGTGATGGGGGCAGGGTGGGTGCAGAATGGGGTACAGGTGGTCGTGTGGCTGGGAGGGTCTTGGATGGTAGATGTTAGAGGTGGTTGTATTGGTGTATGATAGATGGCAACTGGAGACAGGCAGGTGGTGGGTGGGTGGAGGACGCAGGATACAGTGGGTGTAGGAGATCCATCGATAGGGTAGTTGGTGATGTGTTCATGTGTGGATGGCAAATCACAGATGGGAGATGGCACTGGCAGAGGGGATTGGGGATGATGGGTGGCAGATGGTAATTGGATGAAGAATGATGGAACGGGTGGAGGTGGAACAGTAGTTGGATCAATGGATGGTTGTGAACGAAAGGAACACTACAGCTTCTGCATGGATGTGCAGGTGTGGATGGTGGGTGGGAAAAAGTTGTACATTTTGGATGCAAATGGATGGAAGCAGATGGCGATGAGGTGGAATGGTGGCTGAATGGACCAAGGATAGATGGATGGCTGAATGGTGGCTAGGTTTTATTCTATTATTATTATTATTATTGGTACTGGGGATTGAACCCCAGGGAACATTACCACTGAGCCACATTGCCAGCCCATTTTTTAATTTTGAGGCAGGGTCTTGCTAAGTTACCTAGGGCCTCGCTAAGTCGATGAGCTGCTTTTGAACTTGCAATCCTCCTCCAACCCAAGTCTCTGGATTACAGATATGTACCACCACGCCCAACATGGTAAATAGGTTTTAGGTGAACTGTGAGTGGATAGCTGGTAGACAGGAGGGACATGGATGAGACTGTGGGAGGTGACTGAATATAAATGAATGGGTGCATGGATGGAGGATGGTGGGACAGGTTGTGCGTGTATATGGTAGGTGGAGAAAGGACAGGGGACATAGGTGGGTGGCGTGGGGGAGATGTTGTTTTAATCAAGTGAATGACACTTGGATATCTGCATCACGCACACTGGGCCTGGGTGGTGAGTGAATGGAGGATGGGTTTGTGGGGGATGAGAGGCAGAGGTGACGTGGTGGATGAACGGTGGCTAGACTGTACATGGCAATTAGATGTGTAGAGGGCAGACTGCTGACGACAGGGAGCTACCCAGGCCTGGGACTTCCCGGGGCCTTCCTCCCTCGGTCGTCCTGCCCTTTTCTGCACCCCACGTCTCATCTGCGGACCTGCTTCTCCTCACTGTCCTTTGCTGTGTCTTTTGTTTCTCCCATGCACAAGGAATTTCATCCAACGAGGAAGCTTCTTGCCACCAGAGGATGCTCTGGCTCTTTTTGCGTCTGGGTGGTGCCATGACTTCTCTGCCTGGGGAGGGAGCCCGGCTCTATCCCCTCTGTGTGCTGGTGGGGACACCTTCAAGCACAGCAATGCTGCCGGGAGGGGACTTGACCCCTGCCAGCCAAGACTCAGGTCCTGAGAATGGGTCAAGGGTGGTTCTGGAGCTTGACCTTGGCCCATGTTGGCCTGCAGGAAGCTCATCCTCTGTAGCCTCAACCAGGAGCAAAGGGGATGTTTTGGGGTCACGTCCACCTTGCCCTGCCTCCTGTTTCTCCTTGGGCCTCCACTTCAGTGTCTGGCTCTGCCCTGGCCTCACTGTAGAGCAGCTGGGGCTGAGCAAATGTCACCCCTGGGGTCCAAGCCTGAAAGTCCAATTGGGCCACCAGACCACAGTTTCTCCTGACACAGGAAGAGGACGGTATGGCGGGCAGAGCCTGCAGGCTCCAAAGGGGTGGATGGCCAAGCCCTGGGGAAAGGAACCTCTGTGTCCTGCTGTTCTATCCGAACAGGCCATTCTCAGAGTCTGCAGTGTGCAGAGGGCAGGGAGGGCACCTGGACAGTCCAGAGGCTTCCTGAAGAGACAAAGATGAAGGCCCATTGCGGCCAGTGCAGAGATTGTGCTCAAGTTAGCGGCAAAGAGGAGGAGCTGGTCTGGCTGGTCCCGGTCATCCATAAACATCCCTGGCCCCCGTGAAAGGGACCTGTCTGAGCAGAGGCTGGAGGTGGGGCCTGGTGCTGGAAGGTGGCCCTGAGAGTAGCTCATGAGGATGAGGCCCCACTCCTGGCCCCAGAAGCCAAGGGGTACTGGAAACCACCGAGGAGCAAAGGTGTGGGGAGAACAGTTAGGCCAGCTGCAGGTGCCCGTGCTCACAGCAGGACCTGAAGCCCTCAGGCACACGTGCGGGTAGTCTTGCAGACTGGTTAGGGCCTCAGGGGGAAGGAAGCAGGAGAAAGGCCAAGCCCTGAGGAGTTTCCTCCAGTAACTAGGAAATCTGAAGGAACGGCTACTTCAGGTGAGGCTGGACCCAAGGACTTGTCCGTTAATTTGGGGGCTGTGTCTTGCTGCTCTGGCTTAACTGTACCCCACCCACCGTGGTGGTTTCCCTGTGTACACAGCCTTTTTTCCTCCAGGCAAGGAAGTTGACTTAAGAATGGGACTCCCCATCTCCCTGAGTCGGCCATGACACGAGCGAGGTCTCTGTTCCGTTTCCAACTCTGAACCAACTCCAAAGCACAGGCTTCTGCCTCAACTGGCTATTCTAGTTCTGGCCCTCCCTGAGGTGTGGGCAGCCTGAGTGACAACCCTGCCACCCACACAGTGGGGTAGGGAACAGGGCAGGCTGACCTAAAAATCTGAGGAGAGCCCAGCACGGCCCCGAGGCAGAACATGAGAGGCTGGGAAAAGGTGAGATGGCCATGGCAGGACAGAGGGAAGGGACGGTAGGAGGTGAGGCCGGAGTTGCAGAGGGCACAGGGTTGCTGGGGCTGCATTTGATACAGGAGCCCCAGGCTCAAGGGAGCCCAGGAGGAGAGTGAGGCTTGGATAGGGCTGGACAGTCCTGGGTCCAAAAGCTGTGAGGCTGTTGCATTCACTCAGCCTGTTCCGTTCCTTCACCTGCAAAATGGGCAGCAGCGCCCGCCTCACAGGGCCCAGGGCAGGGCAGGAGCACTGGAGCCTCGACCTAGCACAGTGGGCGCTGCCTTCACCTGTGGGCACTGGAGAGGCCAAGGCCTCCGGAGCACTAGACTGGGAGCCACTCTGAGCGAGTCTGCTCCTGAGGGGGAGGGGGTCCAAGGCAGTGGACCCCTGGTTCCCTCCCCACCTTCTCAGGGTTGGTCACCTGTCCTGTGCTTGAGTAGAAGGGGAGAACACGGGCTTCCGGGTGGAAGGACATACTTGCTGTTCCTCCTCTGGCAGGGTCCCAGCAAGGCTGGGCCAGGACGTGGGAGCAGATGGGACAGGGGCACTTAACTCAGGGCAGAGTTTGGGGAGCCAACGTGTGGTAGGTGGGTGCAGCTTCCCAGGCTGGGACAGCCCGGGAGACGCTGCTCTATGCAAGGCCTCCGTGATGGGGCCAGCCAAAATACACAAGCCGCCCTTGACCCCAGAGAGCTGGGTGGACTCAGCGCCTGGGCCTCAGCTCCACAGGGAGAGGTCGGGAGGTGGGAAGAGCCCCCTGGAGCCCAGAGCCATGGCCACTGCCTGGCCCCCACTCCCAGGTATCCTTCAGTGGCTGGAGTCCTCTGAACTTAACACTTCAGGTCAGTGGCCCTGGGAGGGCCTGGCCATACCACTGGCAGTCCAAGGTCACCACAGGGCGTGTCTTGCCTGGTGTGGCCTCTGCTGGCTGTGTGCCTGTCCTGCAAGAGGGCTCCCCACACAAGGCCTCCTGAGAGCCACACCAAGACCCCTGCAGATGGACTGGAGGAGCCAGAGTGCACGGCCTCCAGGGGCCAAGCCTCCCCGCTGCGCCCAGATCCCACCACCAGCCGGGCAGCCCCTGGCCTTCAGCTCCCCCGGGCCCCATAGCCCATCTCCAAGACAGACCCTGGGGTAGAGGGTCACAAGGCACAAGTCCACTCAGTTGCTGCTTGGGTGAAGGGGTGAGGAAGCCTGGGTGGTGTCTTTCCCCTCAGGCCTGATCAAGCAAGGTCAACCCCTGCCCCAGGGCACTGGAGGACCCTGCCTGGGTGACCTGCTCCTGCAGAGCCAGAGCAGGGCAGTGACGGGGCCCTTCCACTCAGCCCTGGTTCTTCAGGTATTTAAGAATAAGACACAGCCGGTTGTGGTGGCACACATCCGTAATCCCAGTGGCTCAGGAGGCTGAGGCAGGAGAATTGCAAGTTCAAAGCCAGCCTCAGCAAAAACGAGGCACTAAGCAACTCGGTGATACCCTGTCTCTAAATGAAACACAAAATAGGGCTGGGGATGTGGCTCAGTGGCCAAGTGCCCCTTGGTTCAATCCCTGGTGCCCACCCCCCCCAAAAAAAAAATGAGACAAAGATAACTCAAGATTTGACCATGCAAAGGTCCATTTTCAGAAAACGGAGAGCGCCCGCCCAGACTTGGCCATGGGGACCCAGTCTGTGACCCTTTCTCTCATCTGCCTCCAGCAAGGTCTCACAGGGCGGGCGGGCGGGCAGAGGCGGTGGGTACCGGCTGCGGGCCAGGCCCTGTGCCCCTCTCCAGGCCTCCATGTCTATGAAAATGGATCCTTCCCAGCACCAGCACCTCTGACTGAGCACTGTTTGCCTTCCAGTAGGGGCACTCTGCTAGGTCTGGCTCCCAGCTGTGCGGGGTGTGTGGGGGACACATCCACATGCGGAGGCTGAGGCCCAGCCAGCACTGCAGCTCCCTGAGTGCATGCTTCCTGCTCTGCTGCCCTGTGCCCATCCTCCGGCCCTCATCCCACTCCTGTCCTTGAGCTGAAGAAGGCAGTTGAGGGTCCCTCCCCCGGCCTGCACCATGACACCTGGCTCCCTTCCTGTCCCCCGAGGCCTGGGGGCAGGCAGAATGAAGGGGGGTGGCTCATCTGGCCTCACCTTGCTGCTGCAGACCCCGTGGTCTGTTCAGGGCCAGATCTGACAGCTGCTCCGCAGGGTCCGCACGGGCACCCTCAGCCTGGGGAGCCAGTGCAGGCCCAGGGGGCCAGGCTTGCAGGCTGATGGCATCTCCTCCGAATCTGGCCCTAAGCAGGGCCTGAGAGCACCTGAGACGAGCAGGGTGCTGTACTGGCTGCAGGTGACACCAGGAGGGAGCAGGACAGTTGGGTGGGGGCTGAGGGCCGCCCGCCTTGTCAGGTGGGGCCTCAAGGGAGATGCAGGGCTCCCTGCTGCCAGGCCTGACCCAAAGGACTACCTGGGAAAAGGGGGGTGGCCAGACTGGAGGGAGCAGCAGCCTGAAGAAGTCCCAGGCCCAGCACCAGCAATGCTTTCAGGTGACCACTGTGTTTCAGAAAGGAGGCAGAGACTGTTCTCCCTTGTTACAGATAAGATGGAGATCTGTCCCAGGCCAAGGGGCCACACTAGAAGCCACAGCCTCGAGAGATGACCTGGGGCAGGCTGAGGGGCCACAGGCAGGCTCACATGACTGGCAGGACCCAGTGCAGGACGGGCAGGCAGCCTGTGCTCGGAACCACTGTGGAGGCCGCCGTGCAGCCTCTGCGGAGCACAGCCCTGGCTGCAGCAGGGGCCTCGGAGGCCCACGTGTGCGAAAGATTGGCAGGAAACCAGGACTCTTAATCAGATTTATTTTCCTCTAATAAGACAGTTTAACATGTCAAAGTTTTGCATTCTACAGTCTTACAGACTTTAGTTATTAGCATCGGAAACACAAAAACATTGCAAGACCTCAAAACACAAATAAATACCAAATAAAACCACACAAAATATACAGTAAACAAAAATATAGAACATAATAATGCTATCGGGAAACCAGACATGTTGCTAACTCCTAACAACAGGATTATTGCTGAGCAATAACTCATACCGTTTCTTAGAAGAGCAGAGGACACGGGAGTGATCACTGGTCACAATCACTTGGACTGTCAAGAGGGTCCTCACAGTGAGTGCACTACAGACGGCGAGTTTTAAAACAGGCAGATTAAAAATACAGAGTCAAATGAGAGACTGGCCTTCTTTGGTCTTTGTTTCTGGGTAAGAACTGAACACAAGAGGTGGACCACCAGGAACTGACGCATCCTACCAACAGTCCAGCTGTCTCCGTCGGCTTCCACACTCCCTCGCCGCGGAGGTTCTCCTAGAGAGACTGCTTACGGAAATCCTTGGAAATAAGGCCGGATTTTATGTTTTTCCAATTAAGTCATTTAGTTTGCTGCTGAAGGTCATCTTACTTGACTAAGGGGACTACGTCATAAAACCACTCACCACTGTTGACAGGAGTGGCACAGCGCTCCTGGACTTGAACCTTTTTCACACGAGCTCACAAGACAGAAATCGACTCAGGGGAAATGAAACACAGCTCTGCTGGCCACTCGGGCCCTCCTCAACCACACGACCCCACCAGCCACAATGTGGGGTGCTGTCTTGCCCGTCTGCCCAGCAGTGGTGTCTGTGCACACCTCTGCAAGTGGAAGACACCCCTGACCTGTTTCCTGGCCTCTGGGACGGGCTGCTGGCCTGGCCTATCCGGGTCCCTGCTGGCCTGGCTCTCCACTGACTCAGTGCCTGCTGACAACCAGCACCAGCCATGCCAAACTAGGAATGCTGACCAGGTCACCCACTGACACCAACTGCACCTGAGCAGGCCCTCATGGGCTCACGACACCAACTTCAGAGAAAACAGAGCGGATGAGATTTGCAAACAGAAGACAGGACTGTGGTCTTGGGCCAAGAGATAGACCTGGGTGACAGACCCTCCTCATTTCATACACCCTGATGCACAGGTGCACTGAGAACTCCCGAGCACACCTTCTGGGCCTGGTCAGGGAAGATCTGGACTCAAGAGAAAAGAATGGCATTTCAACCTCCACACAGGCCCTTTCCAACGAGCAAGTGACCCAAGCAGAGGGATGTCTGGGAGGGTGGGGACTGGGCAAGGGGCACCCAGGGGAGTCTGTGCTCCTAGATAGCATGCTGCCACCCTGCCTGGCTGGAAGCGTCTTGGCTGGGCACACTATGAGGGTCCCGTGCCACTTCGCGAGGCATGGGGGAGAAAGGAGGTGTGGCCTGGCTGTGGGTCTGTGGGCTACCTTCTTTCCCCAGGGCACTGCTGTGGTGGGCCTTCAGCACCCTCTCCTTTGCTGGGTACTGTTCAGTGCTATGGAGCTGCCGGGCCTGACTGGGCAACTATTTCACAGAGGATGCCGAACAAAGGGGTGACATCAGTGACGACCCCAAGGTGGCAGCATTTACCAGGATGCGTGGTCCAGTCCTGGGTGACTTAGGTGATCTGGGGAGGTGGCTGGCTTCCCCGTGGACTGTGTCTGACGTCCATGTCCTCACCAAGGCTGGCCACATGTGGTCAAGGGGAAGCCAAATCAGCAGGGGTACAGATGGGCAGTGGATCTGCAGGCCCTGGTAGAGGCTGCACAGAGAGCGGGAGCCACAGCACTCCCCACCAAGGCTCCCTGGGCAACAGGCCAAGGCAGAAACAGGGGCCGGGCAGAGCCACAGAGGAGGGAGGCAAGGAGACACCCCGAGCAACCGCCCCTGTTGGCTGGCGGGGGGTGTGGGGATGTAGTATAAAGAGGGTTCCATGCTGTCTGCTCGGGGGCTCCAGGAGGGACAGGGATCAGAACTCAGATGGGGCCCCCTCTACAGCCCTCTGCCCACCTCTGCTTCTGCACTGGGAGCACATCCAGGTCCTAACCCAGGGCTCCTGGGACGTGTGTGGGGGAAGGATAGGGAGCTGCCTTCTTGCGGGGACCCACTGCCCTTCCTAGGAGCCTGGACACTGGAAAGCCCGGCTCTCTGGGGCCAGGCCAGCCCACGCAGGGCTGGGTCTGTTAGTCCTAACCCCCACACCCCGGCTCCCTGACCCACCCACCTTGCTGCCAAGGCCTCCACTAGCCAGCCTCAGCCTGGCCCTGCACCGTCTCGGGCATTCTGACTCTCCGGCTGCTCACGTTCCCAACTACAGAGGGCCCAGGCCCAGAGGCCAGAAGCCCAGGCCCATGCGTGTCTAACTGGCTCGGCCCCAGCAGCCCCTGTGGCAGGAGTGGTGGGAGCAACATGCTGAACCATGGGGAGCAGAAACAGGAAGGCGCACCCATGTCCCTCACAGAGGTGACAGCAGAAAAGACTCAGAGTGCTGCTTCAGAGGGCTGGACGGCTCTGTCCTGTGGGGAGTTTTGTTACTTTTGGTAAATGGGAAGAGCACACCCAGACACACACAGTGTATGGACCACCCTTTGCTTCTTGTGGCTGGGGCCCTGTGAAGCAGAGAGAGCAGGACAGGGCCCGATGGACAGCCAGGTCTCAGGCATGGGGACCACAGCCCGAGGATGGCCCGAGCGGCAGCACCGACTGGGGCACCAAGGAGTGCGATGGAGCAGCGCCCGGGGACAGCATGACAGCGGGTCCAGTGCCCAAAGGCATGGGCTCCCCACACTTCCACCCTGCAACACCAAACCACAAGCAGGAGACCAACCTGCCACGCCCTCACCCCAAAGGACCCTGCAGTCACTCCAGTCACATTCTGTAGGCGCCTGGGGGAAGAGGGAGGGACCTGGGACACATCCCACCAATAAGCTCCCAAGAGTCCCTGCAGGGTCTCACCCAAACCAGGGTTTCTAAGAAGGGGAAGAGGCTTCTCACCTGGCCACGCTGCTCACCCTGATCTGTGGTGGTGCGCATGCTTCCCGTTCTCGGGAAGCAAGCCACAGGGACGTTCCTGCACTGCCACCTGGCTGTGGGAAAGCCACTGAGGGCTGGTGGGGCCTGCCAGGTGCTCCTCTCCCCTCCAGACCCAGTGGACAGGCCTGGAGGAGGTCAGGGACACCTTCGAGGGAACAGCGGGCTCCACAGTTCCTGCAAGAAATCCTTCTGCTGAGCAGGGATGGTGGCTCCTCCCTGGGGCACAACCAAGGACACTGATCTACCCAGAGCATCCCAGGAGTGGAGCAAGGAGTGGCAGATGGAGGAACCAGTGTCTTAGCCGTGGAAGGGCATGGCAGGCGCTTGGAACCAAGCAGGTGGCTTATGGGAGCACAGGGACGGGTGTGCGGGAGGGCACTTCCAGCAGGCACTGGGGCAAAGGCACACCCAGGACAGATGGCAGCACCAGAGACGAGGTGGGCGCCAGGCACCAACCAGCCGTCCCTGCACGACCGTGGGGAGAGCCCAGAGGCAGGCAGTCTAAGTGCGCGGCCCAGCTGGCCAATTGTGGGCGCGTCTTTTGGGCGAGTGGCACAGATGTGGTGGCCCGCACACATTGGTTCTGCCTAAGAAGCACCCGTCGCGTGTAGCACCCATCAGTGTAAGAGCACCGTGAAGCGTGGTGCATAGCAAAGGGGCACGGGGCGGGGCTCCAGGCTCTAATCACAGTTGGTAAACAGTGAGCTGGGAGTGCTGCTCAGGCAGGGGCAGGCTGGGGAAGCAGCCCGGGCGACCTTCCCATCAGGGTGGTGGCTTGGCGCCGCTGGCAGTCGGCCTGGGCAGACCCCCGAGCAGCGGTCTCTGGAAAGCTCAGAGGGCTCTGCTCTGAGCTGTGTGGGCCCCAGGCCTGGGGGTGGTGTACAGGGAGAGGCGCAGCTTCTGCTCCAGCCTGCCTGCTCAGGGAGGGCAGGGCAGGGCAGGCTGCGGCCTGGAGTCTGGAATCTGGGACAGCTAAGCAGTGGAAGTTCCGGAAGCCACTGATGAGCCTGGCTTCCCTGGCAAGCACAGGGGGTTGAGAGCCTGTAGACAGAGACCTAGCGGTGGAGAGATACGTCTGGTCAGACCATCACGTTCTAGAACCATGCCGGACACAACCCAGGGTGGAGAAGCAGCACGTCACATCTAAGGCACATGTACCGTATGCCACCATCTCTGAGCAAAGGCGTTGCTTTCGGAGATCACTCACCGAGCGCAGCAGTGTGACAAGACGAAGGACACCTGCGAGGGCCTCCTGCAGCACAGCCACCTGCCCACCCCCGACGCGACCCTGGAGACAAGGCGGCGCTGTCAGCAATGGAGAGCTTGTCTGAACCGGGGCAGAATCTCAAAAGCCTACAGGATTTTGTTTAGAACTCCAAAGTTCAACTAATGCCCTATTTTAGGGTGAAAACAATTATAAATCTGAAAATGATGCACAGCATCCATGAGCAATGTTCCTTTCATAGTAATTTTGAAGTAGTGTCATTAACTACGACAGATATTGAAGGTTTACATTTCTAACGAGAAATAGCAACAGATTGAATGTTCTCTTTCCTATCACAAGTGATAACCAGTGTTAGTTTACATTTTCTTCCAAGAAATATCAGTCTATCCACGTTTTAAAATAAAAGGTTTGCAGTAACAATTATTTGTAGAACTTTAAATTAAAAAATGATTTCGGAATTTAGAGACTTTAAAAAAAAGACCTAGCACTTCAGGGTCTTCTGACAAACAAATTATTAGAACAGAGACCAGATGAGGCCTTAAAAATAGACAATATACTATATTTGAAACAAGATTGCACTCTTGACTTTTAGGGTGAATATATCAGAACTGCATTATTATTTCATAAATTTTCCTTTTGCTGTTCATGCCGACAGGTCCAGCTGTCCCCACGTGCGTTTCCTCTTTTGGGTGTTCAAGTTTACGGAAGAAAAATGTTTCTTTTGTTAGCATATGTTTTCCACCTTACTTAACTAGATCTTTAAAAATGAAAATGAAACCCTCCTCTGACAGCAATATTTATCTCATTGAAGGATAAATAACTCTTCAGAGTGGAGTGTGGCTAGTCTGTTAGAAAACGCTGGAGTGTGTTCACGTGTGGTTCCTCCCGCCAGCCGTGCGTCCGCCTCCTGCTGCTTCCTGCGTCCCACCAGGTCCTTTTCTGAGTGCGAGGACCTCAGTGAGGACAGACTGGTTCAAAGCCCCCAGAGGAGTTACCTTCTGCTAAATCCACCTCCCCAGGTACTCATCAGGGGTCAGGCAGATCCGAAGTATCCACTATGACTTTAATAAAAATTGTATCATCTTTAATATACGTCCCGTTTTCTAGAACAGTTTGGGCCACGAAGACAGGGCAGCCAGAGGCAATATTCATCTCTCCGGTGGGCTTCTTGAAGCTGCTGCTGTTGGGGTCGGGCTTGAACGCATCTCCTAGATGGCGCCGAGAGGACCCCTGATCCATCAACATGAGCGTCACTTTCTGCTTAAATGGCCACGGCAGCAAAGCATCGTACTCTCCACGCATAATGACAAAAAACAGCGACAAGTGCGTCCCCTTCCCCATCCCATCTCCGTTCAGGTAGACCCTGGCACACATCTTATAGCCAAAATAGCCCGTGTAGAAGGGCTGGCTGTAGAGAGACAGGGTCTTCCCCATGACAGCCTCCTGCTTCCGGCGCTTGTAGTCCCGGATCTTCCAGATGAGCACGCCATTGTAGCTGGCGGTCTCCAGGACCTGGAACCGCAGGTCCATGTCAGCCAGGCGGATGTCATGCACGCTCAGCATCTGGTCGTGCCGGCTCAGCTGGGACTCCAGCAAGCCTGCTCGGGGCCACGTGGGGATGAGACAGAGTATCAGGGGTCAAAGGTGACATCTAACCAACAACGGCTACATAAAAAGGGGGCACACACAGGGGCTGTCCCAGGACGTCTGGAAGGGCCCCACCCACCCCCAGTCGTCCCAGCAGATGAACTGTCAGGCAGAAGTGGGAGTGAAGATGGGAGCCCAGGAAGGTGGCAGCCCCCAGGAGATGACCTAGGGCCTGCATGTCACAGGCACCTCGCTGCAGGTCAATGGTGAAGCCATCTTACTCGGACACTCCCTCCTTGCAGAAAGGCGCCCATGAAGGCAGGTGATGGCCACCTACCTGCCCACTAGCCAGAGGCCAACAGGGTCTGCACTCTTTCTGGATCTGAGCTGCTCCCTCCACTCCAATCCTATATGCACCATGATAACCTCATTCCTTCCCACCATTAATCTTCATGCAAACAGTCACAGTCCTCATTCAGGCCCAAGGCCACAGGCCACACATTTACTCAAGAGTGTCAGAAAATGTTCGGGCTGGGTGTGCTGAGCCTCCTGTGTGTGGCTTCCGCTCTTGTCCCAGGCTTTCAGGAATGCAAGGTAGGCACATAAATGGCCTGGAGCACCCTGCCCAGCAGGCCTGGGCCTCCCTGTGGTGCCAGCCTCTCAGGGAGAGCTCTGCACTCTGTCACACTGGGCCTGGCACAGAGGGACAGGTCTAAGGGGTAAGTACCTGTCTCTGCTAGAGGAATCTCCACAGGAAACTTCTCTTGCCTCCACACATGCGTCCTCTGTAACCAGAGGAGCTGGAGGCAGCAGGTGCCAGCCAGGCCCAGCCCTCACCCCAAGCAGCTCAGGCCCCGGCCCAGCCCCTCACCTGTGTTCCGAGCTGCCTGCCCCGCACTCTTGTCCACACTCTCCAGCTCGGTCACACGGTTCTGAAGGGACTCCACGCTGCTCTTCATGCTGTCGGCCTCCTCCCAGTTCTGTCGGAAGGGACGGATCTCCTTGTCCAGCTCCTTCAGTTTCTCCGCCTGGCTGTCTATCACTCGCTTCCAGACCAAGGATGGGAAAAGGCAAACAACAGTCACAACTCACAGGACGCGCCTTGTGACAGCAGACGCGCACAGTGTCCTTGGGCGTGCAGCACGCACCACCAGGGGAAGCCAGGAAGAGCGGTGAGGGCAAGTGGTCAGTGAATGGGGATTCTTCCCAGAGGCTGTGTACTCGGGCCTGCCTTGCCCACAGTGGCCACTGTCCCCTCCCAGGCCAGGCCTCAGTGGCCCCCCAGCTCTGTGCTGAGACCCCCGGATATGAGCCTGCCTGTATTCTCACCCACTTACCACAGGCCAGCAGCACCTCCATGTGCTGGCCAGGCCGCCAGGGTCACTCACCTGCACCCGCACGGAGCCAGGGTCTCATGTGCCTAGAGGCCCTGCTCCCAAGAGGCCTCAGGTTTGGGAGAGTGGAGTCATGCCTGTGTGGCCCCATCTTTCATTTGTGTGTCTATTCTGCTACCTGGTCCAGGACACAAGTGCCACCCTGTTTCTGTGGCTACAGATGCAGCTTCAGAACTGCATGTGGGTCCTGGGAGGGAGGACCACCCAGGACTCCTAGGACCTCCCCCAGAGAGCTAGCTGCTCTGCTCAGGGCTGGCAACAGAACAGGCCAGCAGTGGGCCTCAGGTCCAGGGCGAAGCCAAGGGGGCAGCGCCTATGAGAGGTCTCCTCCTCCACCTGCTTCACACTGGGGACGGGGCGGGGCACAGAGCCTGCCTACAGACACCAGCTGCCTGGGCCTGAGCTCATGCTGTCTTAAGTACCTCAGAAAACCCTGCTCCAGAAGCAGACCGATCTACAGTGGTCATGGGAGGGATAGGAATCCTGGTCCAGCTGTGGTGGCCCAGGGTTTTAAAGGAGTGTTTACTTGTTAATTGGAGCCAGAGACTGAAAGGTTCCACTTTTGAAAAGCACTTGCATTTTGAAGCTAGCTCAGGGAGGCTGGGCCCTGGCCTACAACTTCACTTCTCCTTTTGGAAGTCAGCACCTTTGACAGCCATGTCACCAGCCTTTAAGGAACAAGTGTGGCAAGTCTGGGGTACCCTTCTGGGGTGCTGTTCTTCCTGCTCCTTCCAAGAAACCTGGTATTAGCTGACATTTATAATAGTGAGAATGGTGTCTCTAAAAAACACCCCTTGTTAGGTCGGTGTCACTTTAAACAAGTACCTATGGCCAAAGTGACAGTTAATTAGTTCAGGAGGTCTGTTTTTCTGGGACCAATCTATTGACATTAATGAATGGCCACACATTTGGGATGAATGGTTCACACACTTGGGATGGATGAGAGCTCTTGTGCGTTCTTCCTACTGCTAATAAACTAAGCTAGTGTGGATACTGATGAGACACAGACCTAACACAGCCTGAGTGACACTGTTTTGTAACTTAGTGCACTCAGGAGACAACCCTGAGTTGAAGGATGGCCTGGGACAAGCCACTTGTCACTTTAAGCCTCATGCTTCTAAGTTGCTTCAACCTCAAACTGGTACCCTTCAGGGGGTAGTGGCAGGAGGTCCCTGCTACTGTCCGATGCCAGGCCTGATCTCAAGAAGGGGACTGTGGGGTTTGACTGTGCGACATCCTGTCAGCAGTGAGGCTCCCCACACAGCAGGGGACACTGATCCAGAGCGTGGGGCACCCGTGTTGGGGCAGGAGAAGGGCACCCGTGCTGTGCACACACATGGTCCACACGAGCAAGGCTCAACTAAGTAACCTAGGCATTTCCACATCCAAAGGGAAAATGTTCTGTTTTTAAGTCAGAACTTTCATTTTTTAATTGGCACAGTCTCAAAGCAGAACACAGATCTAAATCAAGTTTTCTCTATAGAACACAGCAAAGCAAAGAGACTTCGCTCTTTAAGCACCATGGTCCACAATCAGCTACTGCAGTGTTTTTATAAATATAAATCTTAAATGCATATGTGAAATTTCATTGTAGGAAGAGTACAGAGCCGGCACAGTGGCACACGCCTATAATCCCAGCGGCACATGAGGCTGAGGCAGGAAGATCACAAGTTCAAAGCCAGTCTCAGCAATAACAAGATGCTAAGCAACTCAGTGAGACTCTGTCTCTAAATAAAACACAAAATAGGGCTGGGGATGTGGTTCAGGTCAGTGCCCCTTAGTTCAATCCCTGGTGCCCTGCCCCCCAACAAAAAAAAGAACAAGAGCGCAGAAGCTGAGATAAGTAGTGTGGCTGCACAATCCATGGACAAGCTTTCAAAGACTTGCTGACCAGCTCCATGCACACACATTTTGGGGCTGCAGCCACCGTTCCTGGCTGTCCTTCTTATTCTAGGTCACTGGGACCTGAGAACATGACCCTGCACAGAGACACAGCATGGTGATGCCCAAGTGCTCAACTGAGCTGTGGACTGGGCATGGTCAGTGCTGGCTTGGGCCCTGCTGATCCACTGGCTTCAAGAACCACAAGTTGAGTGCCACTGGCAGCCAGAGGGCATGGTCAGGCTCACATGTCCATGGTCATCTCTTCTGAAGACAGGGTTGCTCACTATGTTGCTCAGGTTGGCTTCGAACTCCTGGGATGAAGCAATCCATCTGTCTCAGCCTCTCAAGTAGATGGGATTTAAGAAAAATAGGCTCTAGGGCTGGGGCTATAGCTCAGGGGCAGAGCTCTTACCTAGCATGTGTGAGGCACTGGGTTCGATCCTTAGTACCACATAAAAATACATAAAATAGGGTTGGGGATATAGCTCAGTTGGTAGACTGCTTGCCTTGCATGCACAAAGCCCTGGGTTCAATCTCCAGCACCCCCCACCCCAATAAATAAATACATAAATAAAAACATGCTGTCCCTATAACTACAAAAAATTTTTTAAAAAGAAAAATGGCTCTTTACATTCCTGTTAAGAAACACCTTCTTGGTATACCCAAAGGACCAAAAAACAGCATTCTACAGGGATACAGCCACATCAATGTTTATAGCAGTACAATTCACAATAGCTAAACCGTGGAGCCAACCTAGATGTCCTTCAGTGGATGAATGGATAAAAAAATGTGGCATTTATACACAATGGAATATTACTCAGCAATAAAAAGAACAAAATCATGGCATTTGTAGGTAAATGGATGGCGTTAGAGAAGATTATACTAAGTGAAGTTAGCCAATCCCAAAAAAACAAATGCCGAAAGTTTTCTCTGATATAAGGGGGGGTGACTCAAAGTGGGGTAGGGAGGGAGAGCATGGGAAAAAGATTATTTCTAGATAGGGAAGAGGGATGAGAGGGAAAAGGAGGGAGAAGGGAAATAGCAAGGATGGGGGAATTTGATGGTCATCATTATACAAAATACATGTACTAAGATGTGAATTTGGTGTCAACATACCTTATATACAAACAGAGATATGAAAAATTGTGGTATATGAGTGTATTAAGAATTTTAAGGCCAAAAAAAAAGAGTATGTGTATAATGGCATAATTTTGGCATGGACATACTTTATATACAGTTACCAAAAAAAAAAAAAAAAAAGAGCTAGTGTGTGACTGTGGAGACAGATAGGTTTAGATTTAAATTTCAAATTTCAGTTCTTCTACTTTCTGACTGTGTGACCTTGGTAAAGTCTCCTAACATCTTTTGATGTAATTACTTCACCCATAAATAAAAGAATAATAGTACAAAAAAAAAAAAAAAGACTTTTGTGTGTTAAATGTGTACTCTTTCTATGCATAGAATCTTTCATTTGAAAAATGTTACTTTCATTTGACCAACATTGAAGAAAATCCATACTCATATAATTTTTTATATGCAATAAATCATATGTTTCTATCTAAAAAGCCTATGAGATTAAGAAGACAATTTTCCAATAAAGTAATAACCAAAAATAAACAAAGAAATAAAAGAAACACCTTCTTGGCACCAGGCATAGTGGTTGGTGCACACCTGTAATCCCAGCAGGTCAGGAGGCTGAGGCAGGAAGATTCAGGTTCAAAGCCAGCCTCAGCAAGTTAGCGAGACCTTGCCTTAAAAAAAGAAAAAAAGGTGGTGGGGGGGGGGCGCGGCTGGGGACTTGGTGGTAGAGCACCCCTTGGTTCAATACCTAGTACCAATAAAACAAAACCAAACCTGTCATACCTTCCTGGACCAGCAAAAGCACACACACTCTTCACTTCCACTCTGTAACACCTCAGCCTGCGTCCCTGTCCCCACAGCCTAGAAATGAGGCCCTGGACTCCATCTGTACACCTACCGTCTTTGGATAATCAGACAAGAAAAGTGATGATACAGAGTGAGGGGGACTGCGGTCACCAAGGGGGTCCATGTGCAGGGCTGAGGAACCCTGAGGAAGGCAGGGGAGAGGTGGAATTGACACTGGCATGGGAGGTGTTGGAGAAAGTGCTGGAGTAGACCAGGGAAGGCAGGTGGGCAGAGTGGCTCCCCCAGGTGGGTGTGGAGCCTCTCAAGGTGCGACCAGAAGGCCACCTGCACTAACAAGCGTGGGACAAAGTTGGAGGTGGTCAGTCACGTGAGTGCAGGGCCCAGCAAAGAGCTTAAGGTAACTGTGCTGGGGCAGCCAGAGGGTGGGGAGTCTGGAGATACGGGCGACTCAGCTGTGTCCATGCCCCTGGGCACTTAGGGTCATGTGTGTCTTGGAGGCAGGCAGAAGCCAGAGCAGCCCTCCCATCACCAGACAGAGCTGCCAAACCCACAAGGATTCTGCAGGCAGGACTTCACCTTGCACAGCGCTGGTGGCTGCTGACCTGGGTGATGTTGGCTAATGGCAGTCACCTCTGGGAACCTGTGTCTTCTTGCCCCTTGTTCCTGCGTCTGAGGGAATTGTGGGTACTGGGTCTACTCAGAGTCCTTTCTTCAAATATGATCTTGCCTCCCTGTGCTTCTCTCTCCATGGAGAAGAGAGATGGCCCACTCACTAAAGGTCCAGACAACGCAGACAGCTGCTGTCCCACCATCTTTACTTCTGGGTGCCACCCACCCCCATCTTTTGACCTACAACCTGTTGATTTATTCAATTACAAAAATTTTAAAATAGAGTGGTAAAACAGCATTAAAAGTACAGTAAGTAAAAACCTCTCCAGTTGGAAGAGGCAGACATGAACAAAGAGGCCTGAGGCCGCGGGCAGGGCAGACTTGCTGCAGGTGGTGAAGTCCTGCGTGACTTCTCTCTCTGCCTGGACACTGCCTCAAGTGACTCTCCAGCATAACATCCCAGACCAAGTACAACAACTACACTGCCAACAGCTGGGCCTGCTCCCCAGGCAGTGCAGGTGAGGGTGGCCAAGTCCCTGTGGCTGTGCCTCCACCAGCCACTTGGACAGTCCTGCCAACAGCCCACATTAGTGGGCGCTTGGCAAAGTGCAGGCCCACCCAGGGTTTTGCCAGTCTGGTCAGACCCTGCCCTGTTCTGCTCAACTCAGCACTCATACCTGGCACCTCTGTGAAGGCCACCTAGTATTCCATTGTGCCTTGTCCTTGTCTCCCTGGGCAACCGCAAAGTTCAATACAATTATAATAAATTTAATAAATCCCCAAATCATTCATGGGACTATGATTAATCTCCAGCGTCAAATGGGAGGATAGTCATTCCCAGCAATGCCATGACTTGGTATTCTTAGAAATATTTCCTTTTCCTTGGAATTTAAGGAAATACATTTTCCTACAAGCACTAAAACTACTCCAGCAACACGAGCCATTCCCCTGGGCCCGTGTGATACCATGAGTCTTACTACAGCACATGGATGCTATAGAGTGGTGTGCAGAGCTAAGTGCAGGGGCTCAGCCTGGGATCCCAGTGGCTCAGGAGGCTGAGGTAGGAAGATCCCAAGTTTGAGTCCAGCTTGGAAACTTAGAGAGGGCCTAAGCAACTTAGATTCTGTCTCAAAATAAAAAACACAAAAGGCTGTGGATATGGGGTCAGTGGTAGAGCATTCCTGGATTCAATCTCCAGTCCAATTAAAAAAAAAAAAAAAAATGTCACGCGCAGAGAATATCTAAAGGGTGATCTGTTTACAAGTGAGTACCTAGCATTTTCATCAGGCTCATTTATACAGTCACTTGGTTCAGAGCGCAAAGGGTTATCTGTTGTTTTGGGGGTACCTCAGGATTACTGTGATGAAATAAAGTCAGATAAGTATATGTTGCTAGAAAACTTGGAACAAAGATGTTTGGCTCGTTTCACTCTAGGAAGTGAAAATGCATGCAGGACTCATAAATGATATGAAATCTTAATAATAATAAAAATGGATAACTTTTTAAATGTGTAGTGTTAGGATCAAATCCAAGGCCTTGCCCAGGGTGGGTGGGCACTCTACCCCTGAGCTACACCCAAGCCAAAACATTTAAAACACAGCTGTTAAGTCTTGCTTTACCGGGAGTGGATTAAAAGCACAGAAGAGAAGCATCAGGCCAGCTCCCAGGGCTGGACCCCACGCTGATGCAGGAGCCCTCCCTGAGTCTTTACCTGAGCAAGAGAAACTTGGCATTTTCTGTTTTGTCTCACTTCACTTAAGCAGAGGCTTAAGGCTGGGATCTCAGCCCACACTGAGAAACCCAAAGAAAAATGCAGACGGCTCCCCTGCCCTCTTTTCTAGTCAATCTAGTCACTTACCTGTAAATGAAGTATTTTGGATTCATTATTCCGAAGCATTTCCTTTTGTCTCTCAATTTCAATTTCAAAGCTACATATCTGATTGTGCAAACTTTGTATGCTCTTGTTTTTTTCTACGCTTTCATTCTGCAGCAAGGAAACCTGAAAAAGAATTTCTTCAATTAATGTAACAAAAAGTGGTTTGGACACTAATTAACAACAGTGATAATGAAGGTAATTAACTTTTCACAGTACAGGCCTTCTACTGGTGCACTGAAAGGAGTTCTAGGAGAACAAATCCCTCCACACAAAAGAGTGAGTGCAGGGAGCTGTGTGGGGACCCTCCCCCAGCAGTAAGGGTGGGGCGCAGTGCGGCAGAGCGCTGGATCCAGAGTTAATTGGGTGGCTTTTGAGGGTCTGCCGGAAACCACTAGCCTTTCACCAGAGCAGCTTTTAAAATTGGACCAGGAAACACAGTAAGAAACAGTCTTACATTTTGCCCATTTGCACCAATACTATGTGTGCACACCTGAAAAACGGGTTTCACAAAACCAGCCTTGCCTGAACAATCTATAATGCAGGGCTGGGGCTATAGCCCAGCGGTAGAGCGCTCCCCTAGCACGTGTGAGGCTCTGAGTCTGAATCACAGCACCACATAAAAAAATAAAGGTATTGATAACTACAACTAAAAAATAAATATTAAAATAAATAAGTAAAACAAAGGTATTGTGTCCAACTACAATTAAAAAAAAAAAAAAGGATCTATAATGCACCTTGGCATTTTCTGTTTTGTCTCACTCCACTTAAGGCTGCTGCCCCCAAGGGCATCATGCTGAGTGAGACCCACTGCCATGTGGAGCCTGGAAGACTGAAAGGGCAGGAGGTGCTGGTCACAGGCTCAGTTCCAGTAGGAAGAGCACCTGAGATGCTGACCGTGGGACCAGGTGACACACACTCCAGGACAGCTAGCAGAGCAGACTCCACGTTCATTCCACAAGAATCCAGGGACGTGATGGACGTGCTGACTGGCTGGTATGGCCTTCCCTAGGTACACACTGCACCCCACAGCAGTACCTTAGAGGTACCCACGGGCCACTCCTGCACTCTGGATGCCCCAATGTGATGAGAATGAAAAGCCACATAGGGCGTCAGCTCACCACAGACCAACTCACTAACCCAACAGAGAGCAGGCACAGAACCATCAGTCACCCACCACTGTCACAGGAGGGGCAGCAGGGCCAGCATCTCCAAGTCTACCTGTGACCTCTTCAAAATCTCTCTAAAGAACAACTAGAACTGCCCAACGGCAAAGTTTATACCTGTCTCAACAGGCCCTGAGATGAGGGGTCTATGAGGACAGCTCCCACAGGTTTCTCCACAAAGGGCACCCTGGCCCCCAGGAAAAAGCTCCTGGTCACTGCCTGTCACAAGGCATCTCCAGCCAGCCCAGCAGGGTGCTGTCACCCAGCAGCCCTTGGGCCCCAGGAGGGGGCTGAATCCCACAACTCATGCATGACTGAACTGCAGTGAAGAGCTCCCTGAAGCCCCCCAGGCCTGGCCCAAGCTCAGCTTAGGACAAAGGGGTTACGACAAGAACTGACTCCTGATACTGTCCACTTAAAGCGTAGCAGGCCTACAAAACTGAGGGTCCTTTAAGGAAAGAAGCGCCTTTGGAGATAACCATAGCCTATTTAATGTTAAAGCAAACTTGCATTTACTCAGGCGTACAAGACTTGCAATGTCCATAAGCAAAACATGACTTCACTTTCCTAGGATCTTACTCAGCAAAAATCAACTTTCCTTCCTAAACACACAGGGTCTCAGACGTCATAGACACCTGCAGTGATCAGGGTGCGAACTGCAGATGGGGGCACACGTGGGGCCACAGAGCAGGCTGGCCTCTTCTGAAATTATGACGCACTCTTTCCCATCTGGTGGAGACAAACTGAATTCCAGACTGTTTATTCTCACCAAAGAGACATTATGTATGCCAACTTTTGACAAAAATTTCAGTGGTATCTCCAAAAATAATGACTTTTTTTTTTTTTTCTTTTCTGCAAAAAGTCAAGTACTTGAATAGGAGTAGAAGTAACTTACAGTGGTGAACACATGTCATGCTACACTAAGCTCTCGATTTCTCCCATGTAGGGACTTCCCTCATGTGCCTGCAGATCACCGTTTCTGCATATCTCTGAGGCAGCTGTTGTCTGCAGGAGGTGAGGGGCCAGTGTTTCCAGGAAGCACCATGGGTAGGTACACCAGTCAGTGAGAATCACGCGCCCTCCCCTGAATTGAGCTGCAGTAGGGTGCTCTCCACTTCCCTTTCATTTCAGCTTTCTTGAGATACAACATGGATACTTAATAAGGTCCAGATTTTACAACGTTTGCTTTAGTTTGACCATGAATGTGAAGACCCACCCCCCATTTGAACCAACTCAAACATTTTCTGTTTTCTATTGAGACAAACAAAATAAACCTAAGAGTTCCAACAGAATCATTCTATAATGACAAATAATTCCTAATTTAGGAAAATGCAAACATCTTTATTCTAGTCCATCCTTTCCTTTTGGATCTAGGGAAGGGCAAGCAGGAACAAGGCTCAGCCACTCCAAATGCCAGGGCAGGGCCAGAAAGAGACAAATCCTTGAGCAACACCCAAGGGGGTGGCATGTCAAGCATATCAGCAGCAATGCACTCTATGCATCCTGTGCCCTTAGGACTGTCACCGTGCCTTGGCAGGCAGTGGTTTAAACATGAGGCCTTTACAGAGTAAGGCTGCTGCATGGTGGGTATAAGCAGTGGGAGTTGTGTCCTGGGGTTCCCAATGGTGCAAAATCATCACTCTGGGTAGGAGGCAGTGGTGCACGCTGTAACCCCAGCAGCTTGGGAGTCTGAGCCAGGAGGAACCCAAGTTCAAGGCCAGCCTGCAGCTGGGGAGATGCTATCTCAAGCCATTCACTTCAAATGAAGAAAGGTAAGGTGGAGTGAAGGGCGGGGCCGGCACACCCTGCGTGCAGCCTGGAAGGTGATGGGGTGATACCTCCCGTAGTATCCTGGATAAACCACAGGCCCAGACCCGCTCAGCACAACAGTAACGAATGAATTCTTAAAATGAAAGGAAGAGCCTCTGAGATGAGAAGTAGCAACTATGAGACAAGCTTCCATGACTTATGCCTGTGAGTTTTTTGTTGTATGTGGTGCTGGGGACTGAACCAGTGCCTCATGCATGCCTGGTAAGTGCTCTACCCTTGAGCCATATCCCCAGCCCCTGTGCCTACAATTTTAAAATAGCATAAACAGAAGGGATTTTTTCAAAAAGGTAAACCATCCACGAACTTGAAACAAATCCTGTGTTGATGGGAAGATGGCCTCCGGCTCAGCTACCACGACCTTCCTGTTACTATTCTGTGGGCTTTCCTCCTCCCCTCACAAGTGACTGCACGCCACCGCTTACCGCCTCTCAGGTTCATGAGCATTCACATTAGCCAACTATTTTATGCCAGACTTCATGAAAATCTTCTGCTTTAGAATTTTAGACTCTTTGAAGTACATGTATATTAACACTGGAAACAAGATGTTCAATTCTTTATTGACCTTTAAAATACTCAAATGTCAACTCCACTGGCTATTCCAACTAATTTTGGTACCTTCCTACTGCAAGTTCTCCACAGATGTGTGACAAACACTGAATTAATCTTTTATTTTGGGGATTATTATTATTTTTTTTTTAAATTTGGCAGTGCTGGGAATCAAATCCAGGGTCTCAGGCATACTAGGCAAATGCTCCACAATAGAGCCCCATCCCCAGCTTTGATTTTTGTAAGTAAGCCACAATGGGAGATCCCATAACAACACCTTCTTCATCAGTTCTTGAAGATTTCATCATCTTCTCCTGAAAATACAGCCCCCAAGAGAACACCACAGAGCAGACTCCACTAGGAAGGAGTGGCCCCAGGCCCCAGCCAAGACCAGCCTCTTGCAGACCGCATGGGAGGGTCTATCAGCAGAGTGCTATGTGTAGCTGGAGCACCAGAGTTCAGGGTCAGCTGAGAAGGCCAACGGTAGAATTAGGAATGTAGCAATGCTTTTTACCTGTCGCTTAAAAAGACCCCGTTATAACACATTTAACCTTGTAACAACCACATCAGGGCTGACAAACTGTTCTGCAGGGGCCAGGTACCAAGTGTCCTGGGTGACTGGGTCCACAAGGCTCAGCCTCATGGATCCACTTTGCATGCTCAGTGCCACAGCAGCCCCAGGCAACTGCTATGCTCCAGGTTGGCCGTCTTTTGCCAAACCAGGGGGAGGGGGTGTTGGAAGTCCTACCCTCTCCGTTCTAGATCAAGCACAGACAATCACAATGTGATATGAAATAAAGGCATCACATACTTGCTTCACCAGAGAAACAACAACCAAAAGACTCTGTAAGCTCAGGATCACCAAAGAGAATTCATTGGCAATCTCTTGATGCTGCTTCTTTTAACCAAAAACTATTAGTAACTCTGAAAAAGTTTAAATAATTTGAGGAAACCCTACCACCCAACAGAGATGGGACCAGGGCCTACCTTCTTCTCCAGGGAGTTGCTCCACTCCTTCAGCAAGTTGACATGCTGCACGGCAGAGCTGGCCTCGTGCGCCTTGATCTGCTGGTTCGTCCCCTGTGAGAGCAAAGGCATGTTGTGTGAAGTGATCACCCCACTGCGAAAGGCAGATGACTGACAGATGACTCCAGGAGCAGCATCACACACAGGGGGCTATTCATGTACAGCTGCCACAGAATCTGAGCCCCACGAGAGCCACGCCCAGGGCGGCCAGGCAAGCACGTGCAGCCAGGAGGCCGCGGCAGAGAGCGCCAGAACACTCTGCACGCAGTGCTGCAGGGCTGACTGCAAGCCCAGGCTCCTTCCTCAACCTCATCTGAGTGGCTTCTTATCAACAGTTCACACTGGTAATGTCAAAAAATTAGATTTTAAACTCATTCTTGTTCCTTTATAAATTGCCTTTCTCATAAAAAATAAAAATAACATGGAAAATGTTCAGACACCTGAAGCTGCAGCGAGATGCTGCGGTGGCAATCCTGCAAAATGCAGCAAAGCGGGGTTCTGAACAACTTCCCTGGGTTCACTGATCAGCTCAAACACACTGCATCCAAAAAGGCACTGCTCCTCACCAGTCCAAGTCTAACTGGAAATTACATACAAAACATGAACAATCTACAGAGTACATAAGATGCAGACCATCTGAGAGTCAAGAAGAGGCACACTGAATAGTACTTTATATATTTAAGAAAATAATTGGCATGAAAATAGAATTTGTTTTGATATTGGAAAATTAAGAAGCCAGAGAAAACATTTTCATGATCTCCAAAACATATACTCTGTACATAGAATATCCATATATATATATTGATATAAGTTCTTCTCCATATCAACATATATATACACATACACAGAGAATGGATGGTACTACGTACGACATACAGGGGTCTCTCCTCAGAGCCTGAAGCAAGGGGCAGCTAGTCATTCTCACTCTCAGCTTCCTACTTCCTCAGAAAATACCCCGAGGCCAGTGTCTCTGTACCGACTTCATCATAATGTACTGGTGATACATAAGAGTAAATGTACAATACTTCCACTGTGATATATTTTGCCTTTTGACATTTTCATGAATATCATTTAAATGAAAACTTAGTCTTAATTCACTAGCAATCTCAGACATGTTAAAAAAAAAAAAAAAAAAGAACCAGAAGCCCGCTGTGGGTTTCTTGCAGTGCACGTGTGGCAGCAACACTGTTTTCTAGGAGGCGTTTCCTACGGGCTGTGCTCAGTTTGGATCTGTCCTGGTGGGGGTCAGAGTCAGTACAGGTGTGTACTTGAATGCATCTAGGGACTTGTGTGTGATCCGTACAGCCGACTAACGGCACATGTGATGTGGAAACCACATCCATTTGATACTCGTTTATGTTCAACTGACTGCTAAAACTTCCACAGAACCCACCAAATGCCATTCCCATCTGTCCCGTCACTGGCTGGTTTCAGATGTGGTTCTCCTAATGCACTGACGCCCCCCTCAGCAGTGTCCACCTGAGGTCTCAGAACACCACCGACCAGGCAAGAGAGTACCCACGCCTGCTGCATGTGGCTTTTGTCACCCATGCAACAGGGCGTTTTCGTTTCATGACAAGGACCAAGAGTCCAGAACTTGCATGTTAAAATGTTAATTTAAGAACTTTCTCTCACGGCAGAATGTCAGTGACTGGAAGGACAAATGTCGGATACTGACCTGAAAAACGCAGCCATAGCGCTTAAAGCTACAGGTGCTGGGGGCATTGACACACTCTGACAAGTGTGCACTCAACTGTAACGGGAAAGAGACGTGAGTTGTGGCACAAACGTTTGCATGAAAATGCTTAAACACATTAGGGCCCAGAGAGTCTCTGGGCCATATTAAGAAGGCTGTTTTATCAGCTAAGGTGTGGACGCACCGTCTGTGCGCTACACTCCAGGCAGCAGATATATAGCATTGTCACGTGTATGCACATATACACACCAATATACAGAAATACATTCACTGTAACATTTCTTAAACTTGCAGTTTCTTTAGAACAAAATTGTTCAAAATGTGATATGCTGTCTGAAGTGCCAGAATTTAAAAAGGAAAGGGAAAAAAAAGTAAACTGAAATGCACATTTAAAGACTATAAACAAAAATTGCATGAAACACAAAAAAAAAAAAAAAAAAAAAAAAGAAAGAAAGAAGGCATTCAGGATGCAACTGGGTCACACATCTAATATACAGTACACAAAATAAACCCATTCCAATGAAGCTCACACTGCACCATTACTGCAAGACTCGGGTAACTAGAGACGAGCTTCCCCACTGCCTGAAGACTGCTCCCTGGCATGGCCAGAAACTCACCAACTTTTCAAAAACCTCTAAGGCCATCTGAACAACATGAATCTTATGTTGTCATCTCTAACCAAAGGAAGGAAAATTAGGAGGGGTTGGAAAGCTAATCCTGAAAGAAAAAAAAAACTCCCATTCAGCCCCAGTATTGGTGAAGCAGCTATTAAAAAGAAAGAACGTATTTGAAACTGTCTTATTTGTAAGACATAGACTTATGCACTAGGCCAATGCAACCAGGCCTAGAACGTGCTTTTCCGTATGCTGGCACCCCATGTTGTTATGTCAGGGGGTGCGAGTAGGGCCCAGGGCTCCTCGGTCCACCAGGACAAAGGCACACCAGGTGGATATTTTGGACAGAGGGGAAAATGGATCTCCGCCTGCCATGTTCTCTGATGAGAGCTATAGAGGAAGGCCCTAGGAATGCTGGGAGGCCCATGTGGCTCCTGTTACCAACAAACATCGAGAATGGTCTATGAGGTAGGCAGAATCCTTGTGGTTAAGAATCACACCCTTGCCCTGGACCCAGCAGGAAGCCCTGGGCTGGACTTGGAGGGAAACATCCAAAGGCACCTGCACATGGTGGGCATGGAGACACGCATGCATAGGAGGCTGCTCTGGCAATGTTAGTTCAAACCTTAAAAGGTTCTTTCAGGGCCACTGATAGAATCAGGAACATACCCAGCTAGTGCTTCTATTGCTGACATCAGGGACACACTGCATCTGACAGGCTATCTTCAATGTACTACTATAAATTCAGTGTTGTATCTTTTCCTAAATTGGTTTTATTCATAGTATTCTGAGTCTCAGAGTCCTATAGACTTTACAGGAGCTTTGAAACAGAGGCAAGAATAACAGCCCAACAGCTCTTTTCACTAGAAACCAAGAGAAATCCAAGTTCAAAGATTTTTTAGAAAAATAACTTAGAGGCAAAAGAGGCAATTTTTGACCCTTATTCAGAGAGCCCTGGGTGAAATTCAGAGAGTGCTCATAAAACCCTGGTAACTGTTTCAGCAGCACAGACTTTTCTCTATTAGTCTTAACAGAACTATCCCATTGTGTATGTGATGCAAATGCACTTTACAGCTCCTTCCACAGGCACATTCGGAGGCCCAGAGACTTCTGTCACCAGGCAAGACCTTCACCCATCAAGGTCCTGGGAAAATGCAGCTTGGCTGAGTGTGGCTCCTGGGGTCTTCCCCACACTCTGTTCCCAGCCTGGGCCCACACAAGCCTTGCTTGGTAGGGACATATGCAGCTGCCCTCTCCTCCAGATCCAGTGGTAGGATTTCAGGCTGCTGGAAAAGGCTGAGTGAGCAGGCTGCTCAGATCAGAGACAGGGAGCCCAGGGAGGGGGTCATCTCTGAGGCTGCCGAGAGCAACCACGGGGATAGATCAGTCACATGCAAAAAATATTCACAGTCCATGGAATTCTTCCATCTGGATATATCCTGATCAGATGAAGTTAACACAAAATCTACCTGTCTCAAAGAAGGTGCCATGGGCAGTGTGAGACGCACAGTCTGTGGGCAAGCTTCCACCCCACACTTTGTACCCAGGGCTGCCTCTGCCCAGTAGGGTGGTCAAAATGGCTCTGGAATGTCTCTAAGCTAATTTACTTTCTAGGGATAATGTAATGATTCCCTATTTTGAAGTTTTAAACACAGTGCTTTTTGAAACTTAAAGTGCCACCTTTGCTTCCTTGTAGATGAAGCTTCCCATTCTCTCAATTCTTAACAAAACGTTAACCCTGAATTTACTTTCTGGGCTTTTCTTTCCTTGCTTTTCTGCCACGTGTTCATTGAAGAGCAAAGACCTAACAAACCCCAGACTGGGCGGCACAGCTGTACCTTACCTCGCTCCTCAGAAGAGTCTGGACACTGCACTTGTGAGGACAGGAGACCACCACGCAGGGACACTCAGTGTCTTCATGTTTCTACAGAGTAGAACAAAGCACATCAGCCTTGAGACACACAGCCAGTCCTCCTTTAGGCCCCACCTCGATTCCTAGGTGGACACAAAGCACTTGTTCTGCTCAGTCCTCAGCTCTGCAAGTTACCTCCCTGGTGTGAGGTCTCAGGTCCCCAGGCACGGAGCAGACTCTGACAAGGAAAGGAAGCTTGTGGAAAACAACTACACAGGTGTTTTCCTACTGACAGCTCCCGTAGCAGTGTCCCCATGTCACACTGCTCCAGGCTCATGCAGCTCCACAAGTGGTGCCTGCTCTTGCACCCTATTCAGCACCCGCCCCAGGCCTCAGCTTGGGATCTGGACATGATGTTTCTCAGACATGTGGACATGGCTTCACATCCTGGGTTCTAAGCTACTGTTCTGAAATATCACACAGATTTCCCTCAGTGTGTGGGAGAGATGGTCAATTCCAGCTTTGCCTTTCTCTGACTGGTGCACACTGCAGCTCTGCAGAGACTGAATGACGGTGCTAGTTAAACCTGATGCCAGGATACTTGCTGGACGCCTGCCAGAGCACCTGCCCTAGGCACATGAAGGGCAGGACTCTGCTGAGGATACCAAACCCAATGCACAACAAAAACAGAGCCAGAGATGGAAGTGTCCTCTAAACAACACTGTTGAGCAAGGAGCCCAGGCAGAGTTTCCGCAGCAGCCCTGGGCTCTGTGGTCCTCACAGGTCTGTGGGAGGCCTCCTTTGGCCTCAAAGTGCTGCTGTTATTGAGGTGCATGAATGGGGAGGGCACCTGTCCCAGCCTCAGTGTGTCAGAGCCAAGGAAGTGGCCCACACAAGGGAAGTATGTGCCTGGACCTAGGAGGCTCTGCTCCTCTGAGGAAGGCCCGGGCCAAGCACCAGACTCAGCTTTATTTGGTGTGTTTCTAAGGCTCTTGACCCTCTGAGCATGCATGGTGGGCCTGCAGTGCAGAGGGGGAAACCCATGAGGTATAGGCTATTCTGCTCCTGATCCCGGGCCTTGAAGCCTGCAGAATGCAAGTCCAACACCATCCCAAGCTCATTAGTAGGCCTTAGTAGGGTAAAGCCTGAGTTGACTTTCCTCAGAGAGAGCACTGCATGGGGACCTCAGCACCAGGTTGAGGACACCCACGCTGCTGGCTGGGTGGATCCCAAGTTCCCAGGGACCTTGAGGTAAAGGCTTTTTGTGTATTCCAATGGTCTCACCAATATGATCTCGATCCTTCATAAGTAAATGGGAAGTGATCAGCCCACTTTCCCAGGGTGCTGAGGGCCGAGTCAGTGCAGGCCTGCAGAGCTGAGTGCTGGCTCTGAAACAGGGTGAAGGCTCCATAGAGACTTGGCCCTCTCCCTGGACCTGGGGGCTCATAACCTGATTCACCCTGCTGGTGCCCATGGTGCCCATATCACACAGGACAGTGCTGAGGGAAGTTTAGGGTGGTGCTGGGACAGAGTCTAAGGACAGCAGGGCTGGAGGCCGGAGGGGCAATACCTTCGCATACTTTTTAAAGTCTACGCAAGGCTATCTGCCAACTTCCAGATGCAGAACTGCGAGAGTAAATCACTGCTGTTTCAAGATCCCAACTCTGTAGTGCTTTGCTACATTTGCCAAGTACTGCAAAGTAAAAAGACCTGTCAATCTTTTTTAATTTTGAGTACTCTTTGCATATTAATGAATCAGTCTTGTTTATAAAAGAAAATGCAACTTTGAGATGGACACAAACAGATGTGACAGGACACCCATGAGGCCACCACCTAGGTAAAATATGTCCACCTTCCACCTCCCTGTTCCTCCTCCCCACCTCAGCCTCAATTTCCTCGAGGAGAGACCCTAGGCCACAAGCCTGCATTTTCTATCCTATTTCCTAGCAAAGTTTTGTTACACAAACAAGTTTTATTACAAAACACTGCTTGATTTTGACTGTTTTTGAATCTTATTAAAATGGAACTCTGGACAGGAGTCCCATGTGGCGGGCTGTGTCCTGCCTCTGTGACTGACCCACAAACTGCACAGAGTTTGCAGGTCCCTTATGTCCACTGTCTCGTCGCATGCTGCACGGCTCTATGATGAAGTTGTGACACGTTTTCACTGCCTTGTCACACACTGCAGGGATCCCACACTGAAGTGCTCTCATCCTCTAGCAGGGGCTCAGGCTGCTACCGGATTCTGCTGCTCTGGTCACAGCTGGCCACAATTCCTGGTGTGCGTATGCAACAATCCTGTCTGTGTACCCAGGAAGGGCACTGCCAGCTGACTTAGCATGAATGTTCAACCTGATAAAACACTGCCAGCTGCTTTCCAAAGTGGCCTTGCACAAACTGCCACCAGAATATATTTATTTTTCCACACAAGGTCTTTACAATCCTTTCCACAAATTAATTGAGCTGTTTAAAGACACATAATAATTTCTAGAATAAGAGAAAACAATTTTTCTGACACTTTAAATCGTGCTGATTAAATATGGCAAATAAAGGGCTGAGGATATAGCTTAGTTGGTACAATGCCTGCCTCGCATGCACAAAGCCCTGGGTTCGATCCCCAGTACCACACACACACATAAAAAGGCAAATAAAACTTGGAAATAGGGGGCTGAGGTTGTGGCTCAGTAGCAGTGCGCTCGCCTAGCATGTTCAAGGCACTGGGTTCGATCCTCAGCACCACATAAAAATAAAAACAAATAAAAATAAAGGTACTGTATCCAACTACAACTAAAAATAAATAATAAAAAAAAAACAAACTTGGAAATAGCTGATACCCTGTCCCACAGTTTAAACATAGAACAGAAATCCTCAGAACACTGCAATGATCCAGAGCTTCAATGCTTCACTGATGCATACTGGGCCAACATTTGATATATGTTACACACCACAAAAAGGAAACAGAGCCAGGTGTGGTGGCACGTGCCTGTAATCTTAGTGACTCAGGAGGCCGAGGCAAGAGGACTATAAATTTAAGGCAATTTAGCAAGACCCTATCATAAAATAAAATCAAGGGCTGGGGTTACTTCTCAGTGACAGAGTGGCCCTGGGTTCAGTCTCCAGGATTACTTCAAAACAAACAAAAACAGGAAATAGGATGGCCAGGCTTTCTGTCTGCATACATTAGATGGCTGCTCTTTTTAAAAATAGACTTAAAGCCTGAGAGGATGAGATTAAATGTGTTAGAGGACGAGATTAAGAGTGTTAGAGTGGAAAGACCAAAGGATCTAGGAATCCAGTCAGGCCACTGAAGGGAGAGGAGGCCCAGGGCAAGTCCCAGCACCTTCCTAGGCGTGTGAAAAAGTTCCTGTGCACAGTATTGCCCAGGTGCAGGAAGGGCGGGCACCCGCAGTGACCTTGAACACATGGGCTCCTCAGAACCTTTACAGGCTCGGGGGAAGCATGGCAGACTTGGAGATGGACTCTAGGACCCATGCTGCTGAAACAGCACACCCAGACCTTCCATCACAAGAGAGTACTAAGACCTCTGTCACCTCTTCACATAATTCATGCTAACAACCGCTCCACGCCTGAGCACCCTGTCTGTGGCTGATGAATTCAAGAGCCAGGTCAAAGTACATGCCACTGCTCACTGACGCCCTCCCTCCCTGTCGGTGATAGTCATGGTGCTACCCTCACTAGGGGAACCAAAGAGTGTCCTTGGCCGTCTCCCTCCCAGAGCGCATCCAGAAGGAGAAAGACTATCAATTATTCTCACGTATGACCCAAGGGAGGAACACAGGGTGTGGGCCCGACAGGCCCTCCATGGAATCGGGGATAGAGCCCAGGGGCACTTACCACTGAGCCACATCTCCAGCCCCACCCCCATCTATTTCTGTATTTATATTTACAGACAGGGTCTCGTTGAGTTGCTTAGGGCCTCACTAAGTTGCTGAGGCTGGCTTTGATCGTGTGATCCTCCTGCCTCTGCCTCTGGAGCCACTGGAATTACAGGCATGGGCCACTGTGCCCAGATACCATGCCAGATCTTAGCATCTGACTTCGCCTTCTCTATGCCCACTCAGTTACATATTTGGTGTTTAACTGACAGGCTCTACAATTCCTTCTCAAACAAAAATTAATTGCTGGATTCTATGTTCCAAATAATTGATTTTTGCAAGAAGCCAAGTGTAACTTCAATAGCAATATATTAACAAGTGTAAGGCCTGAGGTACTATTCATTAGGTATGTCTCACTCACTGGAAGGTCACTCTTGGAGGAACTGCTCGCTTACAAGTAATACTGCTATTTCCCAACTTGCCTAAACATTCTCAGTAACTGGGAAATCTATGGTATCCCATAAGAGAAAAAGAATTCCCAGTGCAAGAGAGGCCAAGGCCCAGGATGGTGACAGGAGGTAAATTACACACAGATGGTAAAGCAGAACACATTTCATTTTATAGGGAAAAATCTAGGGCAAGAAAACTTTCTCTAAGTTATAGCTATTGAGTGCTCCAGAATATTCACACAACAAGCTCTCTGGGGGCCCTCATGCCCTGGCCACGGCTTCCTCTGCCTTGGGGATGCCACTCTACCCTTCTTTAAGTCTACTCCTCTGCTGATGACCACCCCTCGTTGACAATCTGGAAGGTGTGCCCAGGCCTCTGTGAACTCTGGCCCTGCTCTCTACTCACAGTGCCACAGCCGCAAGGAGCACCAATCACAAATCTGCAGCCTGGATCACTTCCCTCCACTGCTCTGCCCCCGAGCCTATTACCTCTATTGCACTGCAGTCAAGGGACACCCCAGTCCACTAGCTGATCCTGCCACAAGGGCTGGCCTCATCCTTACCCCAAACTCAGCTAAGCCATTGGCTGATCCTATTGCCCCACCTTCAAGACATACTGCAGTACCACTGTGCCCCTACTGCCTGCACACCTGCCTCCCCAGCTCAAGGCAACCCTGTGCCTTTCCCTCATCCTGGTGTTCCATGCAGTTCCTGAAACCCACGTGCCATCTCAGATTCAGACCCCAGTGCTCCCAAGCAGGCCCCTCTACACAAACCACCCAACTGCCTGGGAAGCCAGCCCTCGCCATCCCTGGCCTTACACCAGGTAAACTGCCTTCACAGTTGTGTATTATTATCTCTTCAAACAAGAGGGTGAGCTGCCTGAGGATGCACTGTCTCTTGGAAGGGCCCTGGCAAACCGTGGGCACACAGCAAGCCTTTGCTCAGTGAATGGACAGATTTAAAGTCTATCCTCCCCACTCAACAGCTCTCCTTTCTCTTTAATTTATACAGAAGTGACATGATTCCAGCACACAGTACAGAATCATGCCAAAAAAAACAGAGCAGGAAAACATTTTAAATTCTCCTCTCTCCAAAGCAGACAGCTGAGCTTCAGCACTGCAGGACAAACCAGCCTGCCGTGAGGAATGGTTATGTCATGCAGCTGTGAAAAGATGAGCACCCCATCTCAATTTTGAGGCCTTTCTCTAAGACACGTTACAAATCCTATTGTTTTTGAACAATCATTCTTCACATTTTTGACACCCCAAATGATATTCAATCAAGGCAATAAAAATGTTAAATATATAAATCAAAATAGGCAAAACAAATATAGCTTTACTCTGAAATAAAGTTAGATGAAAAGTGCTATCTAGTCCTCCTCGCTCTCTAAGGCCATCAGAATCATCATTTAGAAAGCATTCTGCAAGGGGGTGTGTCTGAACGTACAGCGGGGAGAAACCAGCAACGCTGGGCTGTGAATGAACCATTTTGTCCCAAGTTTTAAGCTGGGTAACACTCTTTACAGTCTTCACGCACCTGCAGTGTGACCATCGGGACTTGGCTTTTGCAGTGATTACACGTGGCCTCACGGTATTTACATGCCTTTTCAACGTGATCGCGCAGGTCTTTTCTCAAGACTTTTTCTTTACAGTCGGCACGGACACAGGGAAGTTCCTCAAACTGGCAGTCATTTTTTAGATGCACCTGTAGGACAAACCACTCAAAAATTCTTAACTGGCAAAAAAAGAAAAAAAAAAATCAGTCTGAAATGCAGATTCTAACCTCTATGCAATGAAAACTCACAGAAAGCACCTTCGGCTCTTCAGGGTTAGTGGTGGCACTAACTGTCACTGAGGCACTCACTATGCTCAGGGTTCCTCCACATGCTGTGGAAGAGAGTTGACACTTCCTCCCAGACAGAGATGGTTGGGTACCAGCTAAGAACTTTCCTTTATTTCAATTCAAACATCCTCCCAGGATGAAACAGGATACTAATTTTAAAAAGAACATGGAGGGCTGGTGTTGTAGCTCAGTGGGAGAGCACTTGCCTAGCACGTGTGAGGCATTGGGCTGGATCCTCAACACTACATAAAATAAACAAACAAAATAAAGGTATTGTGTCCACCTACAACTTTTAAAAAGTTAAAAAAAAAAAAAAAAAGAACATGGAAAAAATCCATGTGGAATTTCATTATGAAAAAAGGTTTCATGTGCCTTGCAAAATTAAAATCCAACCTAAATCCTCCTGCTAGGGCAGGAGGATTCCAAGTTTGAGGCCAGCCTTACCATCTTTAGCAAGACTCAGTCTCAAAATAAAAAATAAAAAGGGAGGGGACAGAGCTCAGTGATAGAGCACCATGGGTTTAATTTCTGGTACCACCAAAAAAAAAAAATCCAACTCAGGCTTTCAGGTTTCTCTCTATTCTAATTAAGGTAGGCATGCCAACAACTCTACCAATGGTATCATAAAAATAACACTGTATGCCCCAGAGGTCAGACCATTTTCCTAGAGACTGTGTGTTTTAATACATGTTTATGGTACAAAGTATTGGGACATTTTCATCTATGCATATATTATGCTTTTGTAAAAAAGTATTTTTTAGTTGTCAGTAAATCTTCTCACATATGCCAGGCAAGTGCTCTACCTCTGAACCACAGCTCCAGTCCGCCCATATAACTCCTGATCATCATCCACCTTTCTTCTATCCTCCCCAAGACAGTAATTTAAAAACTTTTATTTATTTATTTTTTGCTACTGGCAACTGAACCCAGGGGAGCTCTACCACTGAACCACATTCCCAGCCCTTTTTATATTTTATTTAGAGACAGGGTCTCGCTAAGTTACTTAGGGTCTCAATAAGTCCCTGAGGCTGGCTTTGAAATTGGATCCTCCTGCCTCAGCTTCTTGAGTCACTGGGATTGCAGAGAGGGACCTGAATTCCTCAGCAGGAAATTGTCTGGTGCCACAGGCACCTACCAGAAGCTGACCCAGGGTTAACTGCTCTGCACATCCTCTGCTCTCGTTCCGACAATAGATCTGAAGGGCGAGGATCTCTCTCTTGCAGCAATTATCTTTAAACACCTAAAAATGAAAGATGGTTATTTTAGAGGATTAATATTTCTGAATCTCCACATGCTACTGTTTTGGACAAGGCAAACCACTCTTAAAAACTCATGAGAGGGGCTGGGGTTGTGGCTCAGTGGTAGAGCGCTTGTCTCACATGTGTGAGGCACTGGGTTCAATTCTCAGCACCGCATATAAATAAATGAGTAAAATAAAGATCCGTCACACTAAAAAATATTTTAAAAAAAACCTCATGAGAGCAACTCTGACAGTAGACCTCAGAAAGTACAAAGGACGCTCTTAATTTCTACAAGTGGAATAAAAGAGCTGTACCAGCAAGAAACAGGGTTCAAGTCACACGCCCATGACAACTATCTTCTAATAGATGAGCCCAAAGAAAAGGAATTACATTGAACTGTTCAAGGTCACTCTGAAGCACCCACCATTCTCCCTTTCATCTTTTATTTTCAGACAGTTGAGAACTTTTGACATAACTTTAGTTGTGGAGGGCTGGGCAGGCCCAAGCGCAGGCCACGCTCTGTGGGGTGCATCTCCTAACAAAGGACCCCCCCCACACACACACACACAGGCTAGCGCATAGGTTGCTTGCTAGGAAACCAGGCCAATTACTGCATGGGACCATATTTTAGAATGATTTGTAAAACATTTATTTTGGTTTCTTTTCCTGAGTTTATGCTGCTTATAATTCATATTTATCCCAAAATGAAGCTTTTAAATACATAGCACAAAGGTCCATTAATAATGGAATATTTCTTTAAAAATAAAAACCTGCCTGGCTTTAATTTTATTTTCCCCTAGAAAACAAATGCTCTCCCTCTAACAGTCCACAGTGCCTCATCCTCAGAAAGATCCTGAGAAACTCCCCTCTGTCGACCCCAGGCTTGAAGGAGGGAAACAGGCACTCAACAGACCTTTCCTAGCCCCCCAGGCCAAGAGCAGATTTAGCAGCTTGAAAAAACTGATTTGGAGACAATCTAATCCCTCATAAACATGATTTTTAAAAAGGTCACGAATTAAGGTACAAAAGTCATCAAAACAGCTATTTTTCTATGCCACTAAGTTCCTTAAGTTGTTGGAGTCTAAGCTATTAACAAAAAAGTACTGATTGAAAACAACCAGAGCAGCCAAGTCAGAGTCTGAGCGCTGAAAAGGTCTGAGATCACTGACTCCAAGGTCCCTTTTCCAAGTAAGAAGCCTGAAGGCCCATACCACTTGGGGACTGCTGGGTGTTCCAGGTCCCCTGGGGCCCCACTGGCTCTGCTCTGACCATGAGGACTTGGGCTTTACTCTGTCTTATTAACGATTCTTCAGCAAAACTAGTAATCTTTCCTTAGCTATCAATGTCACTGAAAAATAAAGATCATCATTCTGAATAACAAAAGAGACCAATACCCCCCTTAACCTGTGATTCCAACCCCCTCAGTCATGCTTGTCAGGGGTGTGTGAGCACCTTCACGGTTAGCAGGTCGAGTAACTGCCGTTCTTGTGATCACTGACCTAAGTCTTTAGCAGGGGAATGCTAAGAAAAGGCATGGGGGGGTGGTGGGCCAGTTTCCTTTCCAAGCCTTCCAGAGCAGGTTCCAATGAGTGCCCTGTCCCCAGCAGACCAGGGGCATCTGCTGCCAGTAGCCTCACACTTTACATTTACCTAGACTGCCCTGACTGACAAGTTCAACTTCTGCAAGTGCTTAAGACAGCAAAACCCCGAGCAGGAATCTTACTGTACAATTTAATGACTTACATTAAAAACTTGTTAGGTTCATTAATCAAAATATTGGAACCACATACATTTTTATTGATCTTTAAGTGCTTTAAGAATGAGTCCTTTTAAACCACAAGTGTGCCCAGCAGGGCTTGGCAGGGCTTAGCAGGGCGTGGATGACTGCCTTAGGCCCCAGCGGGAAGCCGGTGGGTGAGTCAGTGGGTGGCCCCTTGCACCCTAAGTGGGCAGGGACATCCATGGGCTTGGCTGGCATGGACACTGCCTGGGAAGAGGACAGAGAACAAATTCAAAGGAACCCCTCACACTAGCGCACATCTGAAGGTACCATCTAGCCTAAGGGCTGAGCATCAACTGATGACTGCAGGGGCAGACCACAGACAGCCCTCGACAGCACCTCACTCACACCAACTCCCTGACTCCTCATAAACCTCTGGGGTCTTAGCAGGTGACACTTTGTTGTTACAGCAAGATGGGCTCAGAGGTCAAAGTGCCTCACAGGGGACACCCAGGGATCTGATCCCCCTCCTCTGCCCAGGTGCTTACATGGTGCTGGGCCTCAAAGCCCGCTGCACCACCTGTTCAACCCGGGATGCAACTGAGCTCCAGAGCCTCCAGAGTACCAAATGCAGACTATGTGGAGAGGTACCCAGCTTAAAACTCCTGACAAAACAGTTCATTCACAGCCCAAGAATACCTTGTCTTTAACGATGCTTTCTTGACACGCTGTACATTTTGGACTCGAGGAACTGGAGGAAACACAATAGTGACGTTAGAGCAGAGTCCCTTTCTCACTGGGCTCCCTGGACACGAGGACCCACCCCCTTTCTGGTCAGGCGCCAGCTTGGGCAATAGGCAGAGCATCAGGATGCCACAGGCAATCTGGTTTAAACATGAAGCCTCTGGAGAGAAGGGCGGAATTCTTTTTTAAATGGTAATTTTTCAAAAGAAAGCTATTAAGTACAACAGCTTAGCTCAATTCCCTTGGAAAGCCCCTCTTGAAGCACATGAAAGCGCCATGTCCTACGGGAAGGCAAACGTGCTGCTGCGGGAGGCTGGGTGCTCCTGCCCCGACACCAACCAGTTCTTGCTCCACAGTGAACCTTCTCTGCTGCATGTTGAAAGGCCAGTGCCAGCTGGAGGGGAGCTGCCCTCCCTATTTGCCACAGGCCTCTCCTGGGCCTGAGGTGCAGTTAGGCCCTGGGCCCCCGGCTGGGGGACATCAGTGCTGAGCCTGTGGTGCCATTGCTTTCGCCTTGCCCCCAGGTTGGGCAAAGCCAAGCTGGCTACCTAGGTTAGGTGGGCAAGACCACAGTAGTAAGATAGGACGGGTGACAGCTGGTGGCGGGGGGGACAGTCTGGCTGCTGGGCTCCCTGGGGCTGGGAGCAAGCACAGCTGGGCAAGGCTCTGCCTGTACCGTATGCTGACTCTACCTCCCTCCAGCATGCGCAGTAGAGCACCTGTACACACACTTGCTGGTGCCCGTCCGCCCACAGAACACTGAGTGCCTCAAACACAACTGCCACAGAGGTAAGGACACCATGGTTTTGTGGACAGAGTGGCCAACATCACCAAGGGAGGCTTCACAGGATGGAACTGGGGAGGATGCAGGGCAGGTGGGGCAGGTACAGGGTGACCTCAGAGACTCAGGCATGGGATCCCACGGACTTTCCCCAAAGGACTCACAAGCTGGGCAGAGACTCTCATTCACTGCCTCTGGGCTTGAAGCCGTCAAGGTTGACTTTTACTTTCGAGAGAAATGAAATGGAAGGAAGGAGAGGTGGAAGAGCAGGGACAGGCACAGTAGGCTGCTGGCAAGGCGTGGTACTTGGGGACCCACCTCAGCAGGGTGGCCATGCAGCTTTCGCAGAACCGGTGCCCACACTCGGTCTGCCTGGGGTTGCACAGCACCAGGCGGCACTTCTCACACTTGTACTTGTCCTCCACGGCCTTCACAAACTTCTCCTTATAGCCTCCTTGCTCGGGGACCAGCACAGACCCACTGCGGTCGGGCTGCAGCTTCAGTGGGGGGTTGGTCTGCAGTGCGCCCACGGAGTCCATCTTTTTACTCGACTCCATTTTAGGAAAGAGAGATTCTGCCAGGAAAAGACAATAGGTCAGGAGAGCGCCACCCTGTCACCCCAGGCAGGGAAGGAACAAACAGCTCTGGAAAAGCAAAAGTGCCTGAGAGACCCCTGCGATCCCTTCTGCCTGTCCCTACAGGCTGCGAATGGCACGCGACTAAATGGCTTCTTTCTGTGATGGTATTTCTATCTGAATACCACCAGTACTACCACCAAAAATACTCCCTAGGGGTATACCGGGGAAACTATATTTTCAAGGTACTTTAAAATCCTATGCATCTTTTTTTTTTTTATTGTTGGTTGTTCAAAACATTACATAGTTCTTAACATATCATATTTCACACTTTGATTCAAGTGGGTTATGAACTCCCATTTTTACCGCGTATATAGATCGCAGAATCACATCGGTTACACATCCACTGATGCATCTTTCCAATATTTAGGTCAAAGCAGTAGCCACTGTCAGTCAATTTTACATCCTGGTTAACTTTACAGCATGATTCCAGGTGTCTCTGTCACACCATGATGACACTGCAGTCAAGCCCAGGCCAGAACAGTATGACGCATCTCCACGCAGTGCTGGCCATGACTGATGTGCTTCCAGAAGTCCAGCAACACTCCTTATAAAGTGAAGCCCCACCTCGTGCCCACTAGCCCTTCAAGCTCTGCTTCTGCCCCCAACTGTGGCTTTACCAAGTCCTGAATCACCCTAAGCACTCTGCATTGCTGAGCACTGGGTGGGCCCCTCTGCAGGGCATTTTCTTTTTCTTTTCTTTTTTGTGGTACTAAGTATTGAACTCTAGGGTGCTTTACTACAGCTCCATCCCCAGACCTTTCTATTTTTTTTTATATTTGGGGATAGGGTCTAAGTTGAAGATGCTGGCCTTGAACTTGCACACCTGCTTCAGCCCGCTTAACTGCTGGGTGTGCTTGCTGTGCTCTGCCCCCAGGTTGCAAGGCATTTTCACACCAAGGCTGAGAGGTGTACATGGCAGGGGGCCCTTTGCACATGAGGCCAAGGGTCAGGTAGATACTAAGATGTCTAGCAACAGGGCTGGCTGGATGGGGTCTCCTGTGCCTCTGGGCAGGCTCTCCTACTGCACCTGGCTCAAAGTTTCTCTGCAAGGATGACTGCCTCCCACCTGCAAGTCCATGCACTGGTAAAGTAAGCACTACTAAAAATGAGGCACAAAGTCTCTGTCCACTGAAACTGTGAGGTCAAGTAAACAAAAATTATCACAAAGCAGCTGCATAAAGTTCCTAAGGAAACATTAGCTTAAATGACAATTATACTATGCATTAATGAATATGAGCTTAGCTGGGTGTGATGGCAGCAGTATGGGAGGCTGAGGCAGGAGGATCGCAAGTTCAAAGCCAGACTCGGCAAAAGTGAAGTGCTAAGCAACTCAGTAAGACTCTGTCTAAATAAAATACAAAATAGGGCTGGGGATGTGGCTCAGTGGCGCCCGAGTTTAATCCCTGGTACCCACCCCCCAAAAAAAGAATAAATATGAATAAACTAATCATTCTGAATATTTGCTGATACATTTATCTAAAGCACATTTTAAATGTTTCCAGATGGTGGTATAAAGGCTGTTTTTTCTAATTTTCTGGATATTATACAATGAGTGTAGATAAAAGTGTTGAGATAGATCTGTGCTTCACAAACTTTCTGAGGGAAGTTTCTGCCTAGATTCTTGCAACATTTGTTTACCGGCTTCTGTTGGGCAGCTCTAGCTCATGGGCATATGTGTCCTTCCAGCCTCTGGGCCCAGCCAGCCCTACTCACCCACATGCCTCAGTAAGGAAGGGAGGCCACAAGGGGACTGGTGATCACATGTGGACTAGGCATGCAGGCCCCAGGGGGAGATCCAGACCCAGATGCCTGATGGAGCCTCTGCACTGAGATTCACTCTCCCAGCCCAATCCTCCTCCATCCTTTTCCATAACAGGGTAATGTAGCTGTTGACCAATGAAGTGTCTTTCAAAATGAATCGGTTCCCTGGCAGGTGAGGTGGTGCATACCTGTAATCCCAGTGGCTTGGGAGGCTGAGGCAGGAGGATTCCAAGTTCAAGGTCAGCCTCAGCTATTTAGCAAGGACCTCAGCAAATTAAGGAAACCCTGTCTCAAAATAAAAAGGACAGGGAATGCAGCTCAGTGGTAGAGCACCCCGGGGCTCAATCCCCAGTGTGTGTGTGTGTGTGTGTGTACACCAAACACCAAATTCTTTTTTGTTTGTTTTGGTACTGGAGAGTGCACCCAGGAGTGCTTTACTACTAAGCAATACTATCCCTAGTATTGACCCAGGAGTGCTTTACTACTAAGCAATACTATCCCTAGTACTGACTTTTGAGACAGGGTCTTACTAAGCTGCTGACACTGGCTTCAAACTTGTGATCCTCCTGCTCAGCCTACAGGCACTGGGATTACAGATGTGTGCCACAGTACCACACATGTGACAAATTTTACTCACAAGATCCTGGGCGTCCACCCCAGGCCCAAACCTCCTCTTCAGGGAGAGACTCAGAGGGGCCACTGTACACCTCAGACCAGCAGGGCAGACACAGGGATTCGAAAGGGAGCAGAGCCAGCTCCTCCCTCTCCTCTGAGCTCTGTTCTTGCACTGCTTCTTGCTGCCTCTTTCTGAGGCTCAGAGAATGAATGTTTTATGGCTGGGGAGGGATCAAACCACTGCCAACAGCACAACACCTGACAGATTCATGATGTGGTGGTGAGGCCACACCTAGGTTAGCTTTAATAAAATACAATGTGGCTATGGAAAAGTGAGGGCACCTGTGTGAGATTTGGGGACTTGTGAAAACAAAAGAAGTTTTCGAGATGACCTCAAAGGGTCAGTGACTCTGCTTGCAACCAGAATCCCATCCATTTGGATGCCTGCTAATCTTTCCTAACTAAGTGAAGAAAGGATCCAGGGCTAACTGCATCCAATGAAAGGGTTGGCCGGACCCAACCTGCTTCCCACTACCTGCCCCTCAGATACTTTAGCTTCCCAGCCCTGGCCTCTGACAGCGTATTGATAAATTGCCCAGGCTTGGGGCTGGGGTTTGGCTCAGTGGTATAGCACCGGTCTAGCATGTGTGACACTGGGTTCGATTCTCAGCACTGCATATAAATAAATAAAATAAAGGTCCATTGACAGGTAAAAAATATTTATTTAAAAAATAAAAATTGCCCAGGCTGGCCTGGACTTGTGATTCTCTTGGCTCAGTCTTCTGAATAGTGGGGATTACAGGTGTGTGACCTGCACCTGGCTTATAAATTGCTTTTTGTTGAAATTACATTGCACTCATGATGGTTGTCTTCTGGGTTTTGCTACATATTTCAATGTTATTTTTCACATGCAAATAGTGTGAAGAGATTTTCCTACATGAGAAAATACTGGTTATACAAGATGACACACCACGTGAATTAACAGCTTTTGTAATTGAGAAGCTAACAACTGCCTAGCTACATTTCTCCCCCAAAACACAAACTGAGTCTCCAGTGGCAATATATTCAAAGCTAAGGAGACAAAAACAAATAAAAGACCGAGTCCACACCATATCAAGGGAGCCCTTCCTCACTCGGCACCAGCGCCACTTTTGGAGCCGGACAACATCCTGACTGTGTTCCTCAGAACGCCGACTTTAAGAGCCATGGTTCAGGCTCCAGCTCCCTGAGCCAAGGTGAGCTACTAGGGGCAGGGTGGAGAGGGTGAGAAGCAGGGGAGGCCGAGTGAGGAGAGGTGTTCCAACTGCTGAGGTACGGCTCACCATGATGGACAGGCCAAGCTGGCTGTTCCTGGTGTGGTCTGGGGAGGACCATCCTGAGGTAAGCCTTCCTGAACACAGGTCTGCTCATTTGGGTAAGCACACAGCAACAGAGCTGCCGGAGACACGCTGACGTGTGTTTTAAGATACCAGATTCACTGCTAACCTGTCTTTGAACAGGATGGGCCAAAGGGTATTTATTTCCTCCACCAGCCAAGGAATGACTGAACACTAGTTGGAGGGCAATGGCCTCGACGAAACACCAGGAGCCCCCACTTGACCTTGGCCTCACACATTTCTGGGGAGTGCTGTGCTCCACACTGCTAAGCACAGGGTCCTCGGGTGCATGCCCACCCAAAAAGCCCTGTGAGCAGGACAGTGCTCCAGGGCACCACTGGGCCCCGTGCAGCCCACAAGCAGGCCCTTGTCAGGTCAGGACTCTGCAGAGGTTGGCCACAACCACCGCCCTCATTTCAATGCCTACTATGGGGGCAGCAATGTATACACCTCTGTGCCTACTGTGTCAGGGGACACAGGGAGGAAGGAAACTGAACCTGTCCTCAGAGAGCTTTGAGGGGATGGGGAGGGTGGGTGGAGAGGAGGGGCCCTCCAAGGTCAACAACTGAGTGTGAGCACTGTACCAGACACACAGGGTGTCTCTTCAAAAGAGGAAGCCCCCACCTCTGCTTTGGAGCATCCTGGGAGTTCCCAAGTTGGGCTGATGGCTTAATTCCAATTTTCCAATTCCAGCAGAGGAAGAGGAAGATGTCAGCGACACCCGCCAGCAGGTGGCTATGGACGGGACCTGGGGTTTACTTTGGTACTGGGGATTGAACCCAGGCAAGCTCTCCCACTGAGCTTACATCCCAGGCCCTTTTCACTTTGAGATAGAGCTTCGCTAAGTTGCCGAGTCTGGCCTGGAACTAGCAATCCTCCTGCCACAGCCTTCTGAGTTGCTGGGTTTACGGGTGTGCACCACCTCCCGTGGCTTGGGATTGGGGTTTCTTGAGAAGATGACATGATTGCAGATAAGCCCCAGGTGGGTTGAGTGGTGCCAGGGCAGGATTTGGTCCACATTGGGGAGCCAGCCAGACAGGGCAGCTGGCTGTGAACAGGCCTGGGTGGGAAGGTGGCCTACCGTCACTTCTGTCTGGCACAGCACTTATCCTCTGAGCCTCACTTTTTCATGGAAAAGCAGACACTACCTAATTCTCACAGAATTATCAGACATCACTAGGATA